TTCAAGCGGGTGTAATATACGTTCCACTTTTGAAAACAACTCGGAAGTAGTTAATCACGAAAGTTTAGCCGGGGCTGTAAAATTCTTAAGAAATTGGTCGACAGCGCACTCGCCGGTAGCCGTTATCCGGAAATAACTTAGATAGGAGTTGCTGCTGAAATTTCAGCGCTTCGGTTACGTCCTGATTCGCACGATTGCGCACCGACATTATTAATGTCATTATCGATATTGGTATTTTAAAAAAAAAATATTTTAAAATAAAATATTTAAAAAGTCGCATTTACGCGAACATATAATTCGAGATCAGAAAATATCGTAGTTATTTGATTTTATAAATTTTTTTATGTCTCGAAAAATATGCTGTTATGTTGAAAAAAAATATACGTTTATAAAATTATGAAAAGAACTTGTGTGTGTGTGTGTGTGTGTGTGTGTGTGTGTGTGTGTGTGTGGAAAATACATTTGATACTGCGCGTGCACAAGGATGCGCGCATAATTTCGATGGTTGTCCATCAAATTTCTTAATCGTTCCGACCGAAATATGGTATCTTGACGGCATTTATGCGATTATTAACACTTATTAATGCACTTCACAGAGAAATTCCATCACGTTATTTTGATATCGCATTTTCATTTGATTGCGTTTAATGCTTTGCCACCGAACCATCGGTACAAACGTACGAAATATTCGCCATTAAAAACGATATGTGTACATTTCAGCGTATAAATTTAAATGGAATGAAGGAGTGAGACCCGCGTAAAAGTTATGCATATGAATTTTATGCCACCAGATCGGTAATACTATATGTGAGAGTTAAAAACATTCCGATAGATTTTGCGCGCGAATTCATGCATATGTTAACTATAATTAAAGCGTTGCCTCCCACGAAAAATTCAATATTATAACAGCGAAAGAAGCTAAAGAGATATAGATTTTTGATAGTTATAAAAATATTACTCTCAATCTCGTAGTATTACGTGCCATAATTATTATAATTATGCGTCATCACGCACCGCAGTTAAATATTATAACATACATTCGTATTGTGCACACGTGAATAATATATATATGTATATTGCTTAGGTGTTATAATATATATCGCTTAAGCTGGAATTGATTTTATCTAAGTACGACGATCGTTTTCGGGTTTGTCGCTAACCGGAAGGAGAGGCGCATTAATAGCCTGGTGTACACGTATAGGAATGAACGACTTCTAAGTGTCGCGAGCATGAGCGGGTCCCGTATGAGCGTCGTGGATGGGCGGGCGTCTCGACGCGGAAGAAGGGAACCGACATGAGGGGTAACGAGGGGGGCGGAAAGAGGGTCTCCAAGTTGAATAATTCAAGCTCTCATTAGGGCGACAAAAGCACCCTGATGGATAGCTGCTCGACTCCGCTGGCTGTCATGAGTCCGTACGGCTCGCGCTTCTCTCCGCTCGCACGCGCGCGAGTCCGCCGAAACGCGTACACGGGGTGCCCCAGAATTGGAGCCCTATAATTTCAAATCGCAGACTGAAATTACCGCAGCTTAAACTTGTAACTTTAAAACACATGAGTTATTTAAAGTAAGAAGGAAGCTCAGTAATTAATTAATATCGAAAGTTAAGTAATTCTAGAGAGGGAAATATACTCTTGCATTTTTTCTGCCAAGAAATCTTTCGAGAAAAAATTACTATTTTTAAAAAACAATTAAATAATAATTTAACTTTTTGTAGATTTTTTAATTTATTGTAAATGAATGAATATGATTCTCAGATGCAGTTGTAGGAATAAGAAACATCAAAGAATTATTTTGCAAGATAAAAACAGATATAGAAAACTTGGATATTGTAGAAAAAATTGTAGAAAAAATTATTTCTTAATTAATTAATGTCAAATGAGACTTATGCCGGCAGAAATCTCGAAGACTTAATTGTGAACATATATCGAACGATAAGTATCTAATCCAGTCTCTAAAAAATATTCCATTCAAAATAATCTACAATATAAAAATGACACGCGACAGTATCGAGTCACCCTGTATAATCGCGCGTATAAGTTTTCGCGCAAAAATTCCCTACTTCTCATTCTTCTTTTTCCCTTTTCGGCCCATCCGCCTTCTTCCACCACCGCTTGATCTTCTTTGCCGCTACGCGTTTACCCCGTCTTTTCCCCCCTGCCGTCCTCGCGACATCCTGTTTTATTTCGAATGTTCTTTCATTTCTTAAAAGGTTCTCTCGCTGATAATTAGCACAATGCGCGGCCGCATTAATTATTACCCGTGCTAATTACCCGGGGATAAATCGCTCGGCAAGGGGTGGCCGGCAAGGCGAGAGAGAGAAAGAGAAAGAGAGAGAGTGGACGGGCCGGGGGTTGGAAGTGGAGACGTAGAGAGGGAGTGCGAGAGACCGGAGGCGGGGGAGGCCCATTACCGTTATTGCTGCAACAAACCGTCCAACAACAGCGATAAATACGAGCGAGAGGCTGGCGTTACAAATGTCTCTCTGAGTTATGATTATTTAGCGCGCGCTCGCGCTCGCTCATTCGCCCGTTCGTTGGTTCATTCGTTCATTCGTTGCGGCTTCCGAACGGCTATTTCCGCAGGTTTGTACAGGATGCCTCAGGAAGAGAAATCGATACTTGTGTTCGGGAAATAATGGTATCGCTAATACTAATAAATTGAACGATTCTCGCCTCGTAGCATTAGGAAAAATCACGGAAACACCGTTTTGTTTAGAGGAAAAGCCTTCTGAATTTCAAGTGTCGAAAATACCACTTTTGCATGCTTGCCAAAGATATCAGATTTTAAGTTTATTCGGCAATAATTGTCGTATGATAATTACAAATAATTATGATAAACTTGAATGATGTGAATTAATATTGGTTTGAATTTTGTCTAACGTTTAACGTTTTAAATTAATGTTTTTTGAAATGATGATATGAAAACCATATTGTTTTTGAATTTATATACAATGAGATTTACTGATTTATTGATTGTTTCTTCTAAGTCATCTTCTACAAACGCGCAGCTTATATTGCGCGAAGATTTGCTGTAGTGCCTTTTTTTATTTTTTTATTTTCTAGTATTCTTGCTAGAATCTTGTTTATTGGTCTCTAAGAAATGATACGTGAAAAAAGCCAATTATTTGCCGATGCAATATTACGAACCTTTCGGCTCGTTTATGTATATTTGAGTAGCTAATTAATAGAGTCATTTATTTATACGTATATTACGGCATGTAATAGTAAACAGAATAATGGCATACATTGGATTCGGAAAATCACTTATGACAAAATTGCAACGTATAACTGAAATGTAAAGCTTTGTATTTGCAATGATATCATCAGTTTGTGAAATAATTATTAGAAATAGAAAACGATTCGAAAATGTTTAAGTGATCAAATGTCAGCATATGTTACTATTGATATTTTAGAACTTATATGCTTTTTATCGAATTTATCAAATTTATAGTTTCTACAAACTTTTACTTTAATTAGAAATTATAAAATATGACTGTATGAGTCTTCTAATCATTTACGATTTTAGCAAAATTCTCATAATTTTAAAATTAGCAGAGCTTTCTTAATACAATAATTATAATTAAATAAAATACTTAGTAAAATACAATAAAATATTCAGTAAAATAAATACTGAATAAATTAAAAATTATTTATTGACAAAAAAATTATAATTACTTTATTTCTAAATTTTAATATTAATGGAAGACGTATTGATTTCAATTTTTTACATAAGAGTAATGCAGTTATCATACCTTTTATTGCCGACAAATGTTATTTTATCGATTTGAAGAGATGGCTCGCAATCCTGACGCTAGTTAGCGTTATTTTCCATGTGCATGCAATACTGACAATAAAAATTTAAACTTTATCTTTACAAAATTTTTTATCTATAAATAATATAAATTTTTAGGCTGTACATTATAGAAAATATTTTAAAAAGTAGTTTTATCGAAATAATTTACTGTGTATTTCTTAAGGAAATAGATTGCTGTGCCATCTTAATATTTTACACTGAACACCTTATATATCGACATTCACATCAAATTCCTAACATATTTTAAATAAATAAATATAAGATAACGATAATTTTATTTAAAATAAAAATTAGAATAAAAATGAGATAGATAAGTATCTTGTATTTTTACATATGTATAAATCTAAAACAAGATACTCTTGTGAAAAATCTAATGCAAGTAAACTAATGATTAGCTAATTGATAAATATGTGGGCGCTTAATGTCACAGGCAGAAATATAAAAAATAAAAAATTCAGTGACTCATAAAATTTGCAGAAACTATTTAAAATAACTTTTACATAATCTGTAAAATGATTGCAAAAGAAATTATTGACATCCCTTCAAATTACTTAATAACATTTCGCAACTGCACTTATTTATTTTTATCATTCATTATTTGCCTCTGCATATCCAAAAGTTGTTTACTTTGCATAAGCGAGAGCTGATCAGCATCATTCGGATTGATATCGCTAACATTTCGCAGTTTTATTTTATTACAAACGAAGGAAGAATGACAAATCGTGATTACACGATCAGCTGTATAATGATCTTGATAAGGTCAGCCGTGAGTTGAAAGGCCACGGCTGATTGATAAGCACGCCTTTCAAGAGCATTTGCCGCCGTTCGCTTCGGGCGGAATTCACGATCCCGTTTGTCGCTTTCGGTCTCACGACAGTCGCCTCGTAGATCCATGACGTGTATTATCTCGTTCGCGTGAGTGCCATTGCGTTAAACAGTTTCGCATTCGTGAATCTCGAGTTCGAATTGCCCACTGCAAGTCTGACCTGATTTTTTTTTTCTTCACAGAGGAAAGTGCTCGATGAGTCAAGCTGGTCGCTGCGCCGCGATTAGAACGCAGTTTTATCGCTCGGTATAGCCGGAGGACATTGTCGAACAGCTGATTCCCCGAGAAAAACGGATGTGCGCTGTCTACGATCACATGTAAGTACATTTGTGCAGCGATCTGTTTATTGGTGTTTCCGTTCGCGTGTGTATGTCTAGATCTTAAATCGGCTTAGTGAATCCTTCAGCTGTAAACCAGCAGTAAAACTCTTGTTACTTTAAGAGTGTGAATTGCGCTAAATGTACTTTGGAACCAAATTTACGTAAATGAATATACGCGTGGCTTTTCGAATGTCATCATGTTTATGTTGTAGCGTGTTTGTTTTGCGATCGTGATTTATTGCTGTTCTATCATCTTTCTTATGATCTCTGAAATCTTGAGTTGACTTTGAAAAAACATTGTCATCAGTCGGTGTCTAACTGTCTCAAAAATAGAACATATTAAACATTTGCTAAAACTCACGCGTGCACCTGAAGATTAGCAAAATTTATCTTTTATTTATTTATTTTGTCTGTAAATGTCACAGATAAAACTGTAATCTAGACGAAGATAAACGATAACAAATTTCTAAGTCAACTATTTAAACCATCGGTGTAACCGGCAATTATTAAACAGACATTAATGAAAGAAAATGGAGCAAATTTTTGAAGAAAGGACTTTTTTCGTGGAAAAAGCGATTCTAAACAAACGAAGGGAAATGCCAACGGAGAGGAAACCTGGGACACTCGGTATAATACGCACTCGTCAGTCCGGATCGGACAAATTGACCGGCTTCCGCACTCGTAGTGGCTCTTTTCTCGTTGTCTCAACGCACCGCGCCGCTTGTATTACGGTTGTTGCACGAGGTATTATCAAGCGATCGTGATATTATATGTTTCGCGCACGTGTGTATATAATTTACAACGCGCATGAGTTCAAGTTCGGGTAGTATCCGATACCGGTCTCCCCGTTTTTCCTTTTTTCATTTTCCTACTGCGAGAGTGGGGACTCGGTTCCGGGTGCCACGATAACGCAGGCCTGCCTCGTCTAATTATTCGTATTTAGTCACAGAGGGAGAGAAGAAGAGCGGACAGAACGGAGCGACGACGTCGCAGTACGACGACGACGCAGTGCGGGACGATAGCAAGAGGGAAAGGATGGCCGGTCATCGTCTCCGAGACTCGTCCAGGACGCCGGTCAGGACGCTCGCTGCTTGCCTGGTCTACCTTCTGACGTTCCTCGGTAAGTTATCCGCCGGTTATTCTAGTCTTCCTGCTGCTCTCTCATCGCCCTGCTCCCACCCTGTTCGAATGAGGTCCCCCCGCACTGCGCCCTTATGTCCTCTGGTTCCCCTCTTATCGCAGACCGAAAGTCATTCGCTGAAAAATGCACTGTAGGAGCCGGCCAGAATATGGCTGGTCACTCATTGAAGTACGCCCTGCTATTTCAATCAATCAAAGTATAACTGGTGATCCGTCATGAAAAAGAAATGAGTGAAAATGTAAAATCTCTTCTGATTGCTTGCAGTTTTGAGAAAAAGAATTTAGAAATGTAAAAGTGATGTAGTGAAATTGTGTTAACATTTGTTTTTGTACAACAACTAATTGCGATTGAAAATACTACAATTGAAAATACGTAAAAATGTATATTTGTAGTGTAATCAGTGATTTTTCATGGAAAAGAAACGATTAAAATGTAAAAAAAATGTTTTTCTTATTTTCAGAGTTTTCGAGAACAAAAGATTTTAAATGCAAAAGTGACGTACGTTTGATTCAGTAAATTTGTCTTAAAAACAATTTGTGACAACAAACTACAATTGAAGTAATAATTGTAAAAGCATACAATGTATATTTGCGATATAACCGGTGAGTTTTCGTGAAAAAGAAACAAATAAAATAATTTTTTACTGCTTAATCTTCAAGAAACATATAAAAATGCGGCATATGTCTATTTGATTAGATAAAACTTATACCAATAATTTTTTGTAAAAATTGTAACTGCGATAAAAATTTATAATTCTAAAAATACGTTAATGTATATTTGCGATTACTTCGGTTTATTGTTTCAAGAAACCAATGAAAATTGACAATGCTATCAGCATCATATATCAATAGTGATTATATAATTAAAGATGATTTTGAAGATGCACAAATATTCATCTTAGTAGTCAAATAAACTTTCGCGTTCTTTTTCTTGCAATTTTTTTGAAAAGTATAAAATCGACGGAAAAACATTTATCCTATATTACGTTTTATCTTTATAGACTTTTATCTTTTTCATGAGGAATGTAGCCGATTGTACTACGATTTACTGGACACCCAGTATAAAACCCTCATTTCTCGATGTACGTATGTAAAGCAGCAGCTTTTTTTTTTACAGGGTCCTACTGTCAGATGGCACCAGGTAACTAATTTATTTCTTGATCATAATTAGGAAGAAGGAAGAAGAATATTTAAGCCGATAAAAATTCATCGAATTATTTAAAACACTTCGGTTCATTTTAACGAAATTTAAAATTAAAAAAAAATCAAACACAACGCCCATTCTTGCCCGTCGTGTAACAGGGACTCTTCGTGAATTAACGGTATTCCGTTGTGGTGCCCGTATGGACGCACACATGTATGGAACACGCATTCACACACACGCGCGTATCCGGCGCGTGTTCTCTTCTGGATTCGTCGTGTGTCCCGATGAGAGAGGAGCGATCCTTGTCGTCTGGTACGCTCCTCAGTCGACGCGCGACTCGCGATCGATCAAGTTGTCGAGCACTCGATTACCTTACACATAACTACCTCACTCAATTAACTACACATTAGTCCACGATGATTAACCACGCGATAATGAATACTTGCTGGAAATGGTGCGTGATATTTACAGCAGTCGCCAGTATCAGCAAGGGCTGGGAGGTAGGGCAAGGCCATAAGTATAAGCTGACAACCGTGCTTATCTTCAGAGAAACCGGACCGGCGAAATCTGGAGGTGACGTCGGCTTCGGGTTGTCAGGGGAGCTGGATGTTACTGCCGTATGGCAGGATCATTATAAACCCAATATCTTGCTGCTTCAGTTTCAGGTATAATTTCATTTATATATTTTTTTACTGATTTTGATTTTAATATCTAGATCGCATTCTATAAAGGAATATTGAATTCACCAGAAGTACTTAATTTCAATTGTAGCTTATATAATTATTTTCTTTATTTTTTAAGTTAATTGATATTAATGAAACGGCTTTCTAAGATTTACAATTAAATATGTTAAACGAGTACGCGTTTTAATTATTAAGTTTGTTTCAGAAATGTTATATAAATTTTATTTTAAAGTATTGTTGTGATATGTTTGCTTATTTATTTTTTAGATATAATATTTTTTTTAAAGAAATATAAATATAAAAACTGATAAAAAAAACATGAGCTATATATTTCTCATAAAAAGTTTACGGTTGCATATAAAAATTTTATATCAAGTTTGCAGCGCGACGTGTAGATAAATAAAACGTTGTCGCAATTTAATAAATTGTAATATTTACTTCTCTTGAAAAATTATTTAAGAATAATTATACAAAGTTATCTAAAATAATATGCTAATGTAAATATTGTCTTATATTCCATGCGACACGCTATTTTTTTTTGTATATGTGTAATTGTATGATTCCATATATGTAAGTGACTCAATATACTAACATTTCAAAATGCATATCATATTTATTATTCCTAAATTCAATTTATTTTTTGAAACTCTTGTGTTCAGGATAGGACATTTGACTTCGGAAAGATTGAAAAACACGCTTGCACTGATATCGAAAGAGGTCGTACCGGATTTCACTCTGCATTGATAACCCGACATCTAAATACGATAACAAAATTTCTTGAGTTACATTTCGAAATTGTTGAATAATTCATTGATAAATTAGTCATTAATAATTTCATGACTAATTTTATTTCCTTGTGTTGGACAAATGTAGAAAAATTAAAAAAATTGTTTCTAATTATCGGGTTTGGCGAAAGAAAAAATTAAATTATTGATTTAATGTAAAACAATTATTAGGTAAAATTAACAAAATATATTACGATTCAATTAATATTAATCTAAAATTATTTATTGATAAAATATTTTATTTAATTCTTTTAAATTGAATAAATCTTTTAGCAATATAGATAATTTATATTCCGAGCATTCTTAAACTTAATAGTTCATAAATCTTCGATTTTTTGTTGCTTTAAATTTTTAATAATAATATATATGTATATAATAATAATATGTATATGATTATAAGACATTCGTTGTTGCTACAGTCTCTGTCGCTGTGTATTATATAACGCAAGATACGATCATGTCTCTGATGAATATTATTCTTGCAGTTATTATCGCCGCAGTTATGGATCAAGTCCCGCCGAGCTCCGGAACCGGAAGATTTCGTGGAACACTCATCCAAGGTGAATCATGTTGCCGAGAAGCCCTTCTTCGTAACTTGGCAGGACGGCGATGTTCAACATTTGTACATGGATCAAGACGAGAGCGCGTCGTCCGCGAATTTAAAGCGAGGTTTAGCTAGTCTTTTTCAATATCGAACGCTCGACGACGAGGTGCACCAACGAGACGCCTCCGGTTCCTGCAATGTGATTTACACGTCTTCCGGAGAAAATGTTATCGAGAAAAAAAAGACTAGATGTACACATAAAAGTTTACCGCCTCCAAAACGACACCCGAATCCAATATTCGCTGTCAAACTTGAAAGTCATCACAATTCCACATACGTGCTATCGCAAATGCTATTACCGAAGCACGTGATTGAGCATGAGACGCATACGATGACTTTAACGGCTAAGTCAGATATCGGTACGGGTGTCATGTCGACGAGGACATTACAATATGTGCAGGATTTGAACGCAGACGTCGTTAAGGCAGAGTCTGCGAAGCACGCGGTAGCGCTTCTTCAACGAGGATATCGGGAAACCGATATCGAGCTTCAGCCAGAGCCTGTGACGTGTCCCGATGCCGGATGTCCTACGGTAACTTTTTATCTATTGGTTATCTTTTGTGTTTCATGGGTTGTGTTCCATTGCGCAATTGGAACAATTATAGATAACTATGTTACTATGCATTGATAACACATCGAATACTTCGAATACTTCAGTTTTTTAACTGAAAATGACTTTTCTGAAAAGAAAAACATGCTATAATATTATGTACATATACTACTCTATCATATCTTTGAATATAATTATAATGAACATGTCTTACTGTTTTTTAAAGATAAAATGCTGTTTTGTTAATGTTTACTTTTCTAAAATTTTAACATAAATAATAATTGATTAGCATTCGTATTTAATATATTAGTTTACATTGATTTACATGAAATAATAAATTATTAACTATAAAAATTGTTAATATTTTTCAGTATATGTATATAAAGATTGCATTGTACACATCAGTTTATTAAGTAAATATTATGTTATGACGAAATATATATTTAAACATGTATTTCGTTGCAGATTGACCAAACGATTGATGAATATCGCGATGCACTCACCGCTTCCGCTCTGGGCACTACAAAGTCCGCATCGGCTTATCTCAAGCTTCTACCTCTAGTCAGGAACGCGTTGTCCGAAGAGCTGCACAAGATCTTGAAAGCGCCGCGTAATCATCCAATAAAAATGCAGTTGTTGGATGTGTATGGTTCTGCGTCTACGTTGCCTGCTCATGACGCGGCCATGAAGATCCTTCGGCAAGATGCATTGGGTGATGAGACCGAGAGATACCTTTGGGCTCTGTCTGTATCGCCAGCGCCACATTTGGACGTTGTCAAAGATATTCTTAAACGTTCCGAGGAGACGATGCAGAACGACAAGGTGTCTGAGACGTACGCGCTCACTGCGGGCGCAATGGCGTGGCACTACGGGTCCCCCGCGATGATAGAAAAGGCGAGAATCAGCCTGGAGCTGGGCCTAGATACTTGCACCGGCGAGGAGTGCATGCTCAAGTTCCTACGAGCTTTACGAAACTTGAGGAGTCGCGCAGCGATTCCGACGTTGCTGACACACGCGTTGAGTTCCAACAAGGCCGTTAGCGTCGCCGCGTGGCGTGCCTTGGCGGCTCTTCCTCACGAAGCTATAACCGACGAGTTGAAAAGTGCCGCCCATAGTATGTTTTATCAAATCGGCGGACCGCGAAGGGATAGCAGCGCGCGAACGATCGCGCTGGACATCATACTCGAGAACGAGCCTTCGGAGGAAGTGTTACACGATTTAGTGAACTACTTGAACAGCAATGATATGGTTTACGAAGTCCGAAAGTATCTGAGTCAACGTCTGGAGCAGATCGCCGAGAAGAATGAACGATTTGCTCTTTATCTGAAGAATATATACGCAACTGGCGATATGAAGATCAATAACTATCATACGCGAGCGCAGAGAGGTCTCAGCATCGCATTTACGAGGAGCTTTTTACGCTCGCCCGACAGCAACGGTTCCTTGGTAACCGTTCAGGAAGTAAGTTCTGGTCTCCTGAAGCGCGGCATCGTGGATGTCGTATTGGAGACCAACGAACACCAGCAAGCGATGTTCTCGTTGGGATTGTTCGCTGGCGGTCTCGGCAACTTCGTCTCAAGTCAAAGCGAAGAGCAAACCGAGGATGAAACGGCCACTGCCGGGATGCAGATTGATTTCCTCGGCATCGGCATACGACCGTTCGTTTTCTTCTACGGTCAGACCGAGCTGATGGGCCACGTGTGGTCCGGTACGGCGTCCGAAAGGACTCCTGCCTTCCAAGCTATATCTTCTTTGTACAGTCACAGTGAATACGTGCCATTGGGATCCGGTTTCGTCGCCGAGATCGACGTTCAAGGCGCTGTGAGCTTCGACCTGGCTGGTCAGATCGAGCTTAGTTTATGGTCGAGGAACGCGCAATCTCGGGTGGAGATGGTCGCCGGCGTGATGGTCCAGGGCGGTACCAAAGTGCACTCAAGCTTCGTGCAGAGCAAGGCGGAATTTTCGATGGCGATGGAGCCGAAACTCGAGCTGTTAACCGATGTGGACTTTGCTGGACCGGTGTCGCTGTGCATGCGACTCAGTCAACCGGACACGGCGGTGAAGCATCAGGTTTACAAGATCGAAAGAATACCTGGCAGTCGGCACAGACTGAGGAAAACGCGCCGGACGAAGGTTCACTTACCCGGAAGGTCTTACATGCTCAACCAAAAGAATAATGAAATGTGCACCAAATTCAAGAGATAACGTACGTACTGACTTTTTTTAACAATACGTGATCGATAATAGAAACTGTTTGTTTTGTGAACCAACTACCATTGTGAACCTCGATAGTGTAAGGATGGAATCTAAATAAGGCAGCGTTTTTACCTATGTCTATATATATACATATATATATAAAAATTGACATATAAATACTACATATAAATTGTACATATAAATTGACAGATAGTGTGACACTTGAACCTCGGTATAAAGCTGGAATTAATTGACATCGTTCAAATGCACTTTTTAATTAGATAATTAGAGAAAATAAATATTGCTATAATTTTTTAAAATTAAAGAATGTAGTCTGAAAATTTTGCTAATTCTAGCAATCCGTTCTAAACGTTACATGAAAAGATAGAATTCTGAAAAGATAGAATTTTATATTTTATTTTGTAAGAAATTAAAATATAATTTATGTTATTGACTATCTCATATATTTTTCATTTTAAACTTTTGTTAATTAGAAATATCACGAAAGTACAGTGCATTTATCTTCACTTCAAGGTCTGTTATATCGAGGTTTAACTGTATTTATATTTTACATTTTTTATCTCGAGAATATGCTAATTTTTCTGCGCCATAGATAAGCGCTCTGGTTCTGTTATAATAAAAAACGAAAACTATTCATCATTTCTATCCGTCAGCGGCAACCGCACTCGGAGACGACCATGTCTTCGTAACCGTATTCATAAGTCAATGTGCCACTCGCATCCAGATAAAGCAGGCTCGTGGGTGCTAATCTAGTAGGAACACAGCAGGCTCTGCTGACGAACTTGTTGCTGTTGAGGTCCTCATTAGTTTGAAGAGCGCTATGCACTAACGTTTGCACTATCGCGTGTTTCGTCGGGCTAAGATGATCGCTGAACGGAAAGAAGCACTTGCCGGAGCATTGATAAGCCTCGTATCCGGGTGGTGCGACCACCCATTCGTCGTAGGCGATCAGCGCGAAGTCCACGTACATCGGACGCCGGCGGCAGTTGTTACGGCGTCGTCTACGCGGAATATCCTCTTTCCAGCGTTCCTCCTGATCCTCCGTCGATCGACGACGACGCTGAACCCTTCTCGTCTTACTATAGTTCAGCAGCAGAATTGGACTGTCGCCGTAAGGATGATAAGTCAGTCGGCCGTGAACATAGAGCTTGACGATGTCGCTCTTCTTGTCGGCGACGACGGACGTGACATCAAAGGCCCGCCAAGCGTCGTCCTTCCTCGACTTCAGGATCTCCTCGCTCCTGTTCCTCACCGGCAGATCGTTTAACGATCGCACTCTGACTATCGCGCCGGCTATTCCGAGCAACTCTGCGGCTTCAAGCGTTTCGTCCGCGTCGACGGATGGAATCGTAAACTCCAAGATCCTTCCGCCGTCGCAGAGAGGACCAGAAGTGTGCACTGGCTGGATAGCCCGGACGATGTCAGCGTCCGGACGGCGATGGTACAATTGCAGCATGTATCTCGATAGAGTTCCCCGGTGTTTCCGGCGGGCAGCGTCGCGCGAGAGTCTCGCATTGATTCTGTCGAAAGGAGGACGACGCGGTGTCGATGACGGCGACGATGGAATCGACAGATCGAAATGGATCAATGCTTTTGCGCGCATATTGGAGCTCCAGCGGCTGATCGATCCGATCTTCCACAAACAACAGATGAAAAATGTACCCGCGACCAGCAGCAACCAATACTTTGGGCCTCGCATGATAAATTCCTGTTGCATTTTAAGGAATTTTATGAATTGCACTGGCCATATAATTTATAGAAAAACTTGGATAAAATAATGAGAAATTTCCTTGCACTTTAGATATATTTGATTGACTTCAGATATATATGCAATGATTTCAGGTTTATTTTATTGAATGCAATTTCCAATTTAGGTAAAACTTATAAATCACACATTTATAAAAAAGAAGTTATAACTATTTAACAAAAGTTCACTGCAAAACCATTCCTCTTCCTTTGAGTAAAGGTATGTGTTCAAATTTTCTTCCAATATACTATGAGATATTACACTTAAAATAATTTTTTTTTATTTTTAGTTTGTGCAAAAATGATAATATTTGTAAAAATAATGACGATTATTTAATAAATGTACATAATTTTTATTCTTTTCTTTTAACAGAATAAGGGATAACGCACTTTTGTGGTAACTGCTTTTTTAACCAAACCACCTTCAATTTCGAATCGGATGCAAAGTTCCCAGAGGAACGATCGAACGATACTGATGTTGTACTTTGAACTGCGAACATCGGATTCTTCAGAGTTGGATGCTCCGGCTGAAGGACCGTTCTCTCCAAATAGCCACCAATAGGGACGTTCGAAGTTACCGCCTGGAATCCTCTTATCAACCGCAGACTACCACTCAACCGAGCGATCCTACGTATTCATTTACCTTGCCAGCAACAGTATTCTGCACCACGACACTCGTCGGTATCTCTCTAGCTGTTGAAGAATTTCAGATAACAGCAGCAGGAAATTGATAGCACTTTCCTGGTATAATTGTAAACAATATTTCAACACACATAACAAGATTATTAACACCAGAAATTTAATATATGTAATTATTCTAACCTATAATTAATCTAACCTATAAAGGTACAATTATTTTTATTTTCTCACAATTTCAGATTGATACCAGAATTAGTTTAAAAGGATTTTAATGTTTAAAACATGGAAAAAAATATAATAGATTATTTATATTGCTAAAATTATCTTATATACATATATATGAAGTTTCTTATTTTACAATTGATACGTTGGCTGCATTGATAAGCAAAAAACGTAGTTTTCTTCAGACTATTGAGAATTGTGCAGCTTTGACCACTTTCGACTATCATATTTCAATTTCTATTATAAAGTGAGTTAACAGGTTTTATAGTATTTAGATTACGAGCAACAAATCGCGCAATATTTCTTAAATTGTAGCAAGTGGTAGTTTTTTATGAAAAAAAGTATATAACTCAGACATTTCATAAATTTCACAATTTTTAGGTTATCCTCGTTTTTTCAAAGGGTATAATGGGAGCACATCGACGATGTGGTAATACAGAAATACATCATATTTCACCGGCCGGCATTTCGTGGCGTGCGCGCAACAACGATGGCGACAACGCGTGCGCCGCACACGGGCGAGATTATCGCTTCGTCGGGGTGGCTGCTGCCGCGGTGACGAGGAAAGGGTGGACGTCGCAGCGCCCGTCCGGCAGCCCGGCATCGATTCGTACCGTCCTCGCCGGCGCGATGCGCGCGGGGTGACGTCATGGCGCCGCGTTTACGCCAATGAGGGTCCGCATCGGATCGCGTCGCGTACGTGAGCTCGAGCGTGCGAGCGACCGTGCGAGTGGACGAGCTGTCTGGTGGCGAAGAGAAAAGACAGTGTCATGCCGTGGCCCTGACCTAAGTCTTACTTCCGGCCGCACGAGCCGATCGCCTTGGTGTCATCCTCTGTTCTTGGTTCCTCAAAACGCGCCCTTCGCGTATTCGGACGCTCGGCTGACGCGCGTTTCCGCGCGGAGGATCGCAGCGGTGCCTCGTTCTACTTACACCCTATGCCAGTGAGTATATGCTAGCGCTATTGACTTCTCGTGCGATGTAAGCGTGTGCAGCGCGCGGCCGCGTGCCGGCACATTGCTCGCTCGCTCGCCCTTTTCTTTTCCTTTCCTTCGCCCCTTCTTTCTCGGTTCTCTCTTTCCCTGTCACGCGAAATTATTTTATTTCTGTCGTTATTTTATCGCGAAGAATAATAATTTCGACAACTCTGAGCTGATTCTTTGATATTTAATCGTACGAAAGAGTAAAGACAAATAAGAACACGGTAGAAGGTATGTAAAGCAATATCATTTTTATCATATAAATAGATATGGTCAAACGTTTCGATCTCCCTTTGGACGATATAACGATAAAACAATATTGCGTAATTTTCAGTAAACTCGTCAAGGACTCGAACAAATGGATATTTATTTACAGAACAACGATTACATGTTATTTACACATTTTCTTATCGCATCCGGCTCTTAATTGTCTTAAATACTCTGTACAAAATACAATTTCGTTTGTCACGCGCTATAACTTCTCCCATACTCGTGTTTCAACCGCGTGCGCGATAACGAGTTCATAGATCGCTGGAGCGTCGAGAGCGGGGCTCATAGATAACCGGATTCGTAGATAGTCAGGACGATAGGATGCGGACTTCGACTCGCACACTGCCAAGTACACTTTGCTCGCTTCGCTCCGAGTCCGCGTTCGAGTCTGTGTTTATTCTTGCTTAGAGTGAAAACGTTGGCCGAGTTGTACACTTCACCTGAACTGAAACGAACGTCGTTATGCAGGTAGTAGCGCGACTGATTATGCAAGCTTGGCAGTCTCTCCCGAACGGTTGAAACGATCTTAAACGAAGTGTTACAGTCGCAATTCGAGGACTATCTGCCGTATCTGGGCGGAGCGGCCGGTGCCCTCGTCGTCACCGGGGTGGCTTACTGGGCTTCCAGACCGACAGCCGAGAAACCGCTCTTTCCGCTCGACGCTCAGGCACTACTGCTACCGGTAAGAAACAGACACGTGTCAATCACAATTTTTCACTCAGTGCCTCTCTTAACTTTTTGAAGTCGTGAATCTCAGACGACACGAGTGTCTAAAAGATATCGTTGGAAACGTCCAAAAAAAAATGTTTTTTTTTTTTAGACGTTTCTAAGACGTTTTTTAAACGCGTGTGTAATTTGGGAAGAAAAAAGTGCTCCAACCGAAAAGACACGTGCCTTTGAATTGTGAATTTTCAATCCACACAAAATTAGATTTTAATTGTCATTTTTGTATTATTTTTCAATCTGTTTCTTTTGACTTTTTTTCCTCTCGTTTAATCTATTTAAAAATAAAATTTGATAAGGCTTGAATGGTTGAATAAATCTAAAATGAAAGTGCAAGTGTCTAGTATATTTGATTACTTGTTTATTTTGTTGATGGGTTATTAATTTATACTTTCGATTTCTTATTTATTATACTATCACATGGAATTTTGTAACTGCTATCTTGAAATTTTGATACATTTTTATTACACTAAAAATGTTTTATAATTGAAACACGTTTCTTATAACTGATCGAGCGTAAACATTTTGTAAATAAGTATACTATCAACAACTTGTATAATAAGTATGTTATGAACAACTTATATATTAGGCTCATCATAACACACTTGCGCTTATAAATGTTTTCTTTCTTATTTCATTTCAAATGCAAAAAGTGTTAGGTGAAAATGTTAAATAGGTTTCCATAGTTTTCCACTTTAAAATTCAAAGTTGCATGAAACGCATTTTTTTCGATTGAAACAAGTTCATAGTTTTGCATACATTTTTTGTCATCAAGCAAGAAAGTTACTGAAAAAGTGATATTTCAATGTGACAACTATATGGCACATTATCACGCATTCATTTTTCATACATTATGCAAAAATGTCAAGAGTTAAAATAGTAATGAAAAATTCAAACCACGTAATGAAAGAATAATTAAAATTTTGATTTACAGATAAAGTACAAAAGACAGAGTATACACGATAACACACTAAGAAAACGCGAAAAATACACGTGATGAAATGTAAATACACATGATAATGTGTCACAAATACGTATATTTATTTGAAATTAACATGAAAGAGTTACGAAGATTTACAACTGAAAATAAGTATTGTTATTTATGGCGTAAACAACTAACAAAAATAGCTAGAAAACATTATTGATAATAAATAAAGAAATCTTTGGGCTTTTGTTTAAAAACTAAATTAAAATATAAAATTAAAGAAAAAGCTATACAAAAGCCAGAGCTAGAACTAATTGTTCAATAAATTATATTTATCAATAAGTATTATTACAAACGTTTCGGCACATGTTTTGGTCGTTCTCAGTGTACAATGAAACGAAAAACAGAACGATAATTATATAATAACATAAACACATGAACGCAAGGTTGTCAACAATGATTCAATAGAGAGTTAAACTTTAAAATGTACACTATCATCTTGCTTGTGCTGTGTCGAATTTTTATATTCTTCATCGACTTTTGCGCATCAATAACTTGTTTTATCTTCATTAACCAAAGAGTAAAATTCGACACAGCACAAGTAAGATGATAATACATTTTAAAGTTTAACTATCTATGCAACCGCCGCTGTTGACAATCTTGCGTTCATGCGTTTATATTATTATTTGCATTATCGTTCTGTTTTCCGTTTTATTGTACACTGAGGATGGCTAAAACATAGGTGCCGAAACGTTTGTAATATTACTTATTGATGAATATAATTTATTGAGCAACTAATTCTAGCTCTGGCTTTTGTATAGCTTTTTCTTTTAATTTTAGAAAACATTAATTCGTTGAACTTTGTTTCTATACTATTGCGTTATATACTAGCGTCTGCCCGTCGACGGAAAATTACGAGATATGACGTTTCGTTGATAATGCTATTTAATTGAACAACAATATAGATAACTTGATGCTACAGACTTATTGAATATACAGATTGATACTACAGATTTATTGAATATACACAGCATGTTATTTTATGATATTAGCTGTAGTGATAACTGCAATTATAGAAGAATATTGCTTAGTCACGTATGAATATAAAATAGCGATCATTAGCTATATATCGGATTATGATTTATAGTTATTTTTATCATTAGTAGCTTGAAATAATCATGCATTATTATTATTATTGCAAAAAAACAATCGCACCGCTGTGTACCGTCGAAAACACTTGATCTCATAAATTGATCGATTAATAATTTGCTTACTGATTAATAGTGATTATGATGCCGTCTACTTCGAGCATTCGATATGTGTATATTATCATGTGTGATTAATAATATAATAAGATTATATAGGCAATCGTAAATTACTTTAATCACTGGCTTTAAACGCGCGCGCGTGAGACACACTTGTTGTTTTAATACACATTTAAAAACATTGAAGCTGAAAATTGTTTTTGCTTATCTATACTTGCTTATCTATATTCTGTGTTAGTTTTCTGCTACGGTGCATTTTTATTTATGCAAATATCGGCTTGTAATCTGTATGCATCTTTTAAATATTTTGTGTAGCATTTCTTTACTTTTCCTTCAATCGTATTCCAATTTTTTTTTGATTCCGCTATATATTTTCTATTTATTTATAGATTGCAATCATTTTGCGCATTTCTCAAATATTTTGCACAATTATTAAGTTAGTGCAAAGATTGAAAACAGTTTCAATTAAATAGAATATTCACTGTTGATTCTATTTTTTCCATCTAGAGAAAAGCTTTCAATCTAAAAACACTGTAAACTTCTAATTTTATTTAAAACAAAAAAGCGACCAAGCTTTTGTGTCAATGTGTATGATTAAAGTTACACACGGTTATAAAAATCCACGTATATTCCGAAGCTGTACAATTTGCCAATAGATAAAGTGATAACTGTGAGACATTTCCCGCATTTTCCACCCATGCTCATTGAATTAGCCACGTGGTTTTGTGTCCGCGATTCATTCATCGTAGCATGCTGCATGAACGTACTGCAGAAACGTAACAGAATTCCCTGAGAAATATCGGATGCTAAACATCATATAGAGAAAAGTTATTTTCGAAGCCTGACTACAGATATATAATGAGCTTTCCAGATTAACTTCACCAATCGGCTCGCAGTGACCCTCGTCTCGACTATCAGTTTACATAAGCTTTTCTCCAGACCCCCGCTAATGTCGCAAGGGTTATAATATCGATTTCGGTGAACTCGATACGCGCTTTTACGAATTCGCCGATATGATTGCACGATTGTATTCGCGTGTATTTTATCGTCGTTGGTGCACGGAAATTTCAGGTCGAGCAGTCCGGATCTCGAGATCGAACGTCAAATAGTTCTGACCTTCCGCTCGAAGTATATTCAAACAATTCGAACTGTTTGAATGCACTTTCAGTGTATATATATATTTATCTTATTTATATTTGTTGCGAAATTATATTATACACTGCAGATTATATCTATTTAGTGTTGCTAGAACGCGTTTTAGAAACGCGCATTTTCTTGCACACGTTATTTTCCGCACACATTATTTCCTTGAAATAATTCAATTATTTTTTTTTAACATTTTATAAGCGAATTTTGTAGCAAATTTTTTTGAAAAAATATTGACGTTTGCGCAAAGTTAAGCAAACACAAAAAGTTGTTTATTTGCTACTTGCAAAACATATTATTTTTGCTTCGATTTTCTTTAATGTCTGAACTGTTTGAATTATACGAGTTCGAAGATCAAGTGCTCTTGTATCGAACATATAATATGTTCGAATCTTTTATCCGAGTCTTAGTCACACTATCAACTATTTTTATAAGACTTATGAAGTTATGAACTTTACCCTCTCATGTGATTGTTGTTTGTTATTAACGGATATTGGATTACATTGACGGCCGCATTGTTTCTTCAGAATGATGTATGGATGTGGAATTAATTCTTTCAATGAACCATTCAATGCCATCGATTTGCAAATAATCGACAGTCGATTCTATTCCCTATGATTCTTCTAAACAGGATATTCTAGATTTTACAAAACGTATTTTATTTTCAACCTTGCAACGAAATAGACAGAAAATTGACTTTAAATTGCTTAAAGAAGTCAGGAAAAATAAGATGATTAAAGAATTCACAGAAGAAAATAGTTTAAAATGTGGGTCGTTAAATTTTAAACATTTTGCATATCTCGACATGTTGTTGTTGTTCTTTTAGTGAATCCTCACTAGTTAGCCTTCAGTTTTTTACTAATGTCTTAAACATTCAGCATTCCAAAGTCCAAGTTTGTTTCTTATTTGCATTGATTGGTAATTTAGTTGAAATGTCATGTTGTCATTTCGAAATATTTAAAATGTTATTTATCTTTCGGAAAATATAAATATAGATAAATTTAACAGAAGTTATCCTGAAATCATTTTTATTTTTGCAGAGTGTTTCGTAAGAGATGTAGAATTTTAGGCATTCCACAGCAACACAAATTCGCTTACATTTCATTCTATACAGAAAACTCCTTACCTGCTGAATATAACATCCTCCATCCAGATCTTCTTTTCATGTTACATCGTGACTCCAGTCGAGGGTTCATAAATGATCGATGAGTGTTCGATCTTCGCTCCGTTTCGCATCTCCCAGCGATATGTCGTAAAAAGCGGCGTGTGTGATGACGGACCGTCTAGAACTTTTTAGGCGATAGATTCGTTCTCACAGCGAGGAACGATACGGTGCAAAGAGAAAAAGCGCCGCGGTGAACTCCACCACTGCCGATGCGTGGTGACGATCTTGCGGCCAAACTCCCGCTGGCGCCCGTCCAAACTCCTCGGCGTCGAGGACGACGACGCTTCGGCGGCGCACTATATTTAAACACGCACTGCCGAGGATCTTCGCGCGGAGGATGGGCCTTGCTCTCGCGAGGCTGGTTGGTTGGCCGACGGTGTAGCGTTAGTGCTGTCAATGCGAACCGGATACACACCCATGCTGCGATTTACGCAGTGTTCCACTTTTATACGGTCGAAAATCTCTCGGGTGAATGCGTGTATTTGATATAGAAAGTTAGATTCAGAATTACTTTTTAATCCTGCTGACTGCGGATTTGCTTGACTAACGTCTTCTCTTTTCGAATCCGATAGCTCGATAGCTAGTGCTCGAAATTATTTTTAAATTGTCAACGATTGTGCTAGAGTTTTTATATTTTTATTTTAACATGTTTTTAGACGCATTTTGTTTTAATTTTGGTGAGATGTAAAATGAATATACTTGATTAAAATCATGTTGAAAACGTGTAGGCGTTTATTTGAACTCGAATACGGATGTGTACGAAATGAGGACAGAATAGCAGGATTAAACCTGGCTATTGATTTTCGTGTGATTTGTGCCGCGGAATCTACCCTTGCCGCAAAAATTCTACGTAAATCGTAAATCGAAGAATGTCTATATTCCCTGTTGGGCAATCAGTTGTTATCTAAGATCAATGATATACTCGAATATCCCGTACATTTTCATGAACAAAAAGATTCACGGACTTTATAGGCAGAAAATTGTCTCACAAAACGGCACAGTAGATTACAAACTTTTATAGTGAAATTTTTATATGTTAGAAATATATGTGTGAAGAATTTTTAAGAACTTTAAACGAAATCGTAAAATTTTAGTCGACAAAAGCAAGGTGCAAACCTTATTTAAATTTTGAATCTTACTTTTATCAGCAGGAATTTTATGGTTTTATATTTGGGGTTTCTGCTTTTCTCTCAATATGAAAGTTCTATAAGAAATCTTACTTGAAACTTGTATCATGCTTTTATCAACGAGAAATATGGGAAATGTTCAATCTAATAATTTAGCGGTAAAGACAAAATCCTACCCGAATAATCATACGAATATTAATTCCAGGGAATTAATTTATCAGATAATTATATTTTATTACACTAACTATTCAAACATCAAAGTTTCCTTGTAATTACGGACACTAATCATATATACTCAAGCGCCGAAGTATATATATTCAAGGTTTCCAGTAATTTCGCAGGATATTACCTACGCACGAGGGTGCACCCGTTTACTCGGATGACGGATATATGTCCGGAGTGACCGACGGTATTGACAGCACTATGACACGCACCTCTTCTGCGGAGAGCAGCGCCGAAGACGGCACCATCCGCGTGACACCCGCGCCGCGTGCCAAAAGATCAGGCCGAAAGCTTAGCCGCAAGCTCGGCGCGAATTCAGTGGCCGCGGGCGTGTTGGTCCGGCTGGTCTGTCTTGTACCTGGGAAGAGTCGAATCGACGAGCTGATCTCGAGAGGAGCTTTCGAGAGGCCGACGGACGGCGGGTACGCGCCCGTTGAGTGTGCGTGTTACGTGCTACGTGCAGCATGTCGTCGAGCTGCTTCTTCCACGAGCCGATTCACCCGCCGATAGATCTCAGCGATCAGTCCGACACGATCAAGGTGGAGTGACTTCTTCGGGATGTAAAAGAGAGTGCTCTCGCGATTGTACGCGCTCCGTCCCTCGATTTATCTCTGGCGCGAGCTAACGATCGAACTTTATATTTCGAACATCGCGAGCTCGTAATTTCATCGAATGCGTTTTTATTCGTTAATTCATTTATTTTAATTATTTTTTGAGCATTTTATGGGAAATGCGCGGAAATTATACTAATTTCAATATTAGCAGCGATTGTTTGATGCAATATGGTAGCAACAATTGTTTCTAATGCCAAGAAATTGGTCGCCGAAATGCGTTTCGTGACAAGAATCGATACAAAATCAAAAATGCAACAATTGCGTGATTGAATACATTTTAGCATTATTGGTTTTTTCGAAGAAGAAAGATTTGTCCCTTTGTCGATGTTACATTTCCTTGCAGCACTAAACTCTAATTTGAACTTTTAAGAAATAATTTTCTATTGCGCAGGAAACATTATTGAGAGTTCACGTAGCTTATTAAATATAATTAAATGCATTTCTTTTATACATTAAATATGTACGATATTAAATATAGGACTTGATGTAATTTATCGCAAAAGAATGATAAATTGTTAATTTATCTTTAATGCAAATAGCATGTACGTACATTCTTTGCAATAAATTACACTTAATGTCGTATTTTATACCGTACTTTACTAAATGCTACGTGAGTGACAAATGACTACGGATTATCCTGCAATTAAACAACTATGCGAGTAGCCTCAAGTCCGCACTGAGGTATTTCGCGATGGTGTAACTGTGATAATGACTCATAATGTGCCCCAAAGTCTCTTTTAACATCGCGCGTTACATTTATTTATTTTACTGTATTTTTATTTACCACGTTTATTTTATTTATTCTGAGCATTCAATTCTGTTGAGAAACACTTCGAATTTGAATAGCAAGCTTTTCGTTTATTTAGCGCAAAAAACTTGCGAAAGTGCTTTGTGTCGCTTGCAAATGAAAACGCGAATGTTTCGACAGTTTTGCGCAGAAATCTACAAATCACTGCGATGCGCATCAACAATATTTTATGTACGAATGTGGGTGGCTGGACGTCGTTGCACAAGCAAGTCGATGAAGCCGCAAGAGACGGACGTCCGCGTCGATGATCGATACATATATAGGAAGCGAGTGTACGCGCTGCGCGATATGCAGATGTCCCTTCACCTGCGCCCTTCATCCTGCCCACCTCGATCAGCCGCGTAATCAGCTGCTTTGCCCGCGTGCGTCGATACGCGGGGCCGCGTGCGTCGCCCGGCTAAATTTAGTGTCACACTTGCCGCATGTCGGTTACGTAATGACGTGCGGACGTGCCGGATCCCATGTGTTTTTATCTTCGATTTTCATCCCTCCCCTTCGTTTGCAGGGCAACGAGCACATTCGGGTGTCGAGGTTCTTTAAAGAGGGCAAGGAGGGCAAGTTCGTCACCTTCATCCACGAGGATACACGCACTCTCTACGAAGGCTTCCGTCGCGGCGCCAAGGAGTCCAGTAAGCGCCAAATCATTATTTTAAGAGGCAACATGATTTCGCTAATTGCGGAAATTGCGGCGGGCTCGCTTTCATAAACATTTCGTCGGGGGTTGATGGGGATCTAATTGATTTCTTACACTTTACTTAACGTCGATTAATGTTTATCGTGGCAGCAAGTCAAAGGAGCGCGCTACTTCACTCTAGTCGTGCGAAAATCGTAAATCCGCAGTCTACGTGAATGCAAGCCCGTGTAAAGTCCACGGACACGACATTAAGCTTTCGTACACAACCGTATATCCGTTATTACGTGCGTGTCGATTTAGCGGCTCGTTTGGCAAGCAGCACGGTCGCGCTATAAAGCGAGTAAACAAGCGCGCGCTTCCTAACGAGCGCCGAACGCGACGACGCGAGTTATCGGCGGCGTCGGTGGCGATTTGTCGCCTCCTCGCATCGTCGGCAGATTCGACAACCTTTTCGACGCAAGGTTGACAGTTATTTCGGGTATGCATGCGTCTCTTATTTTTACCTCGCCGCGGAATCCACGCCCGCGCAGCCGACACCTGTCGCGGCTCTACCCGACCTACAATCACGATGACGACGTGTCGGAAGATCGATAATTTACTGTGGATATGCTTATTCGCTTGTCAATTCTTTATCTACATTCTACGTTCAGTTAAAATCAAAGTAACTTAGAAAAGTACTTTTGTGCACATGCTCTGTGTAAAGAATCTGAAATTGGTGGAAAGAATACGTGTGTGTAAGCTAGTAAGTGTTATTTCTTCTTAGAGTCTTTTATAACGTTTATAAACTTTTATTGACTATATGACAAAGTTTACTTTAATTTATCAAGTGCTGTAAATTGTACTTCTTTTAATTAAAATGTAAAAAATTCTTGCATTCACAGATTCCTCGAATTCTCGTACTCGCATTAATTTTTCTATCAGTTTTGTGTAACAATTTGATGAATATATCTAAAGTAATTTTATGTACTAATATAGATACGTATTTTAATTTATTTTAATTTATTTTAATTTAATTTATTAACAAGAATTCTAACCAAAATTTATGAATTCCGCGAAGTAATTGCTACTTTCAATTAAAACAAAATCCTTCGATTTGCAGATAATGGTCCTTGTCTCGGATGGAGAGAGGAGCCGAGCAAACCCTACCAATGGCTTCATTACAACGAGACGCTGCTCAGGGCGAAGAATTTTGGTTCCGGCCTAGTGTCCCTGGGGCTGGCCCCTGGTCAACAAACTTTAGTAGGCCTGTACAGTCAGAATTGTCCCGAATGGATTCTCACCGAGCAGGCATGCTATTCGTATTCACTCGTGGTGGTGCCATTGTACGATACCTTGGGCCCGGATGCCTGTGCGTACATCATTAATCAAGCTGAAATTAATCTGGTGGTGTGCGAGGATGACCAAAAGTGCAATTTACTTCTTGATAAAGCACCCAGGTACGTAGCAACGATGTCAACAATTCTCTTGAAACATGCATTAAAAAAAAAAACGCACTCAAAGCGAGCAATTATTTTCCTATCGTATTATATTCTGTGACAAATTTCTAAAATTTTTTTTTTTTTGTAATAGTCCAATAGTTATTTATTTATCTCGCAATTCTGAGGCACCCTATATATTTTGTTTGTCGTTGAATATTGAATTTTTTATATATAGCTTTGGTTATTTCCTCGGTTATTGGTTGTTTAAAAAATTAAGCGGGTATACAACGGCAACAATTAGCATGTATTCTCGTGAAAAATTAATTACGCGTTAACTACACTCGACTTTGATATCGACACTATCGATTATTGATGAAATTACGCGCTTAAGTATTAAACGGCGTTTAATTTAACCACAATAGAAGGTATTCGCTCGTAATTTAGGCCGTATATCGAATTATAGATAGCACAGATGGTGGATAATTTATGTATGAATGCCTTCTTAGATTATCGAGGTAAACTTTTCTTTTCTGAATGATGAACAGAAAACTTGATATAACAATCTGATATGTATGCAGAATTATCTAGAAATATTTTCTAAAACTCATCGAAAAATATGAAAATGCACCGAACACACATACACATCGATGACACTTTAATCACGTAGCCTTTGAAAAATTGGAGTCGATAAATATTTATGAGGCTTACAGTATAAATAATTACATGGAATCTATAATACCCTTTGAAAAGTTTGGAGTCTATAAATATTTCACAGCGAATTTTTATCCATGACGCGCAATGTGCGATCCACACGTTTCAAGCGTCGATTCCTTCAAAGAAATCACTCTCAGGGTTCTTCTCGAAAGCAACGTCAAAAGCGCGCGATGTTGAAAGTGTTAATCTGTAACACTGCCAAGAGTTTAGCGTCACAAAACAGAACATTCCTTCGGCTAAAGAACTTTGCGCCGTTCCCTCCATCTCACGTCCCTGATTCTTGACAGGTGTTTACGGAGGTTGGTGGTTGTGAAGCCGACGCGGCCGGCGACGAACCAGCGGGCGAAGAATCGCGGCGTCGAGCTGTACAAGTTCGACGACATCGAGCGTCTCGGCGCCCAGAAGAATCATCCGGAGTTGCCGCCGACGCCGAGCGATCTCTGCACGATATGCTACACGTCCGGCACCACCGGCAATCCCAAGGGCGTCATGCTGACGCATCAGAACGTCATGGCGTCCATATGCTCGGTGATGATGCAAATGGGCGACCATCGGCTGACGGCCGAGGACTCGATGATCAGCTTCCTGCCGTTGGCGCACATGCTGGAGCGTTGCTGCGAGAACGCCATGTACTTGGTGGGCGCTTCCGTCGGCTTCTACAGCGGTGACATTAAGAGGCTGCCCGAGGACATGAAAGCCCTCAGGCCTACCGTCATACCGGCCGTGCCTAGACTGTTGAATCGGATGTACGATAAGGTGAGTGAGATGATTGAATATCTGTAAGAGATCTGATTTTAAAGTTTCAAAATTTTAATCAGCTCTGAAAAGCTGCAAATCAATATTATTTTAATTGCTCGATCTGGTTAAAATTTAATTCGATAAATTGTACGAGTGTCTTAAAATTAGGTATCATTTTTGGACAAAATATTATATCACGCGTGTGTTTAATCATGAATGATGGTTTTTACAAAATTCGATAAATTATACAAAATAAAACAACAATATTTTATAATTTTGAACGCGCGCGCGTACATTCTCGCGTGCATTTAATCGTAAAAAATAACCAAGGTTTTCTAAAAATCTGGAGAATTACGAAATGTGAGCGTAATGATGCTTCACAACTCTTCATAAAGAAAACATTGTTCTGTTTGCGTTAAAATGTCTTTTGCATGAAGATTGATCTTTAAATCATCGCATATTTGGATAGCGTTCTGTTTGTCAGCGTGGTTTATTTCGGGTGGTATATTGCCGTTGTTCGCGTGTGCTCTGTGTTGAGCCGTAATTTATTTTTGGTTCGCACTTAGTCGGCCGCTGGACTCACGTGATAAATGTATCGTATCATACGTTCTGGTTTTCTGGCGTCCCGACAGTAATGTTCGAAGAATCTTATTGTTAATGAATCATCGTTGTTTAGCCTAGTAGTAATAGCGCTTATTGCTGTCATTCCTGCTATAAAATAATAATTTTGATTTCTTGCGTAGGCTACAAAATGTCACAAATTACGTAATATTAAGTTTAATATAATAAAAAAGTCTGGTTTTATTTAGATAATCTATGGCCCTTTTGCGCGACCGATGACGTAGCGTTACGCCTTCTTATTTTTAAAAGTCGAGAGCCATTGACGTAGTGCTACCTTTCTTGACCCAAGTCTTATAAAAATGACTACAAATATTCGTTCTCTGTAATCAAAATGTCAACAGCGTTATAAATTTATGGAAAGAAATGGTAGTGACTTTTATACGGTTTTATAGTTACTTGGTTCTTCTAGCGTTTTTTCTTCGAATTGGACTTAAATTAGAGTTAAAAAAGCTTCAATGGTTCTTGTGCACTTCCGCTTACATAACTGGAACTACTTCTACGCAGTCCATTGTTAAGCGAATGTTACACTTGGACATTATTCAATATTTTTACGATGCTACAGCTGTATTATGGTGAATCGATATTAAACCCAAATATTGCCTTTATAATTCAAGCAAACCTTGATGTTAAAAACAACGTCCGATATTTATATTTTTAATCGTTATTAATACATTTTATAATCTATCAGAAAAAAAAATAAAATCACATATTTCTTCATACTGATTAAAATATAATCTTGAATTTTATGAGGGTCAGAGATTATCTAAATATAAAACGAGATTTTTGAAAAATATATTGGACTTATAATCACGTTATTAATAACATTTATCGACTATATAATTTAGAATATATTTTATTCTTCACACATTTAGTTTAAAAAAACTGATTTACTAATTAAAAAACTAATTTAATAATTTTCTATAGAAGTAAACGACAGAAATATTTTTTTTTATAATAGTTTCTCCAGGGCTCAAATTCTCTTAAATTAGAAATTCTCTAATTGCTATTATTGATCATTTACAAAGTGTGTCTCACCGCATGCATTTTCTCGTGGCTGCGCAACATCTTGCAACGTGCCAATGCCGTATCGCGAATGCGAAGAAACAGGTGCGGGACTCCGCAGCGTAACCCTGAAGTCCCGTCTGAATGGGACACGCGCTCGATCACGCGCGAACTCGTTATTGAATTACTTTTCGCGTATTTTTCGACGTCGCTTCGTTAGCGATTTTCTAAAAAGAAACTTCGTGGAGAAGCCAAGGAGCGGTCACGCGTTTTCGCCGCACATGTGTTCGCATATGATGTGCGTAACAGGTGCGGAATACACATTCCGTCAGTGCTAAGTCCGTGTAAGATTTAGTAGACATGTAATAAGTCATTTCGTTTCGCTTTTCTTTGAGAAGGTAATAAAGAAACTGAATGCTTGCTGAACTTGGCGCGGCGTAAAATTGTTTATCATTTATTTAGTTTTGACAGCATATGACATCGGACTCAACTGTCGGAACTGTCTAAATAGAATTTTCTTCGTTTTCCAAACTAACTTATGATAACAAAAACATCCTAGATTGCGCGGCCAAAAATTTCTGCGCGAAATGACGTACATCAGTGCGGAGATAAACATTAGACTCATAAACAGAGAGCGGAATATAGAGAGATAAAGAAGTATGACCGTTGCATCAATATGGCATTGATTGATGCATCTCGAATGACGCAGAATGACTTTGCTAAAGAAGCCAACAGGCAATAAAATCTTATAGATGCATTCTCTTGTAGATATATTTCTTCTTATTTTATTCTTTAGCAAAATATTCGAAGTTACATTATCATTATTTATTATTCGTTAACATAACATACAATTTGAGAAAATTTTAATCATATTATGTTTATTCTTATTTTGTGGATGGCGAGAAACTTCGTAACCGTCCTTTCCTGTTTTTTTTATTTTTATTTCTAACACATCCGTTTGACGTTTGCAGGTGCAAGCCGAGCTTCAGAGGTCGTTTCTAAAGAGGATGATATTTAACATGGGCATGCGGGCAAAAGAAACGGAGATCAAAAAGAGCATTGTGAGGAATAACAGCTTATGGGACAAGATCGTATTTAAAAAAATTCAGGACTCGATGGGCGGCAGACTTAGGCTGATGCTCGTAGGTTCCGCGCCGTTGGCGGGGAACGTGCTTACGTTCACCAGGTGCGCCCTTGGCTGCTTGGTGATCGAGGGTTACGGTCAGACAGAGTGCTGCGCGCCAATAACACTCACTATTCAGGTTCGTATTCTGTTAGCCAGTCGTCAATCGCCGAAACTGTGCTTTAAGGCCAAGTTGTGAATTTACTGTATTGATTTTTGCAAGCCACTTTTGTTACATGTGTCAATTATTTATTCCGTTTCATACCTTTCTTTTTATACATTTTTTTTCTTTTTTTAGATATAAAATTCTTTAAGTATAATTACGAATTTGTTCTCTTTAAATGATAGAAAAAGTAATATTTGATTGATACGTGTCCATAAGACCGTTAATATCTATGCGACATTGTTTAAAGGAGATATGTAAATATAGATACGCATACGTGTGTATGTACGTGTGTAGAGACTTGACGACTATAGCTGCTAGCGATGGTTACACAAGCGTTCAATAAATGCGGATACATTTTTTATAAAACAGACAAGTTTAATAAGCGCTAAGCGCGCAGTGAATCGTAGTAACCTCGATAAGTAAACTTTGGAATAAGTGATTTTCCAAGAGTTTTTTTTTCTAGTATCATGCATTAAATACTACAGAGACACTATTTATCTATTTTTTATTTACCGTAAGATGTTTTTATCAACAATAAATATGCAGAATTGAAAGAAACGCGCAAGATATAAATTTATATATGCCACTATTTCTACACTGTTTTCAAAACAGTTTTGCATATTTTTATATTTACATGAGCGATAAGAAGGTTTCACGTTAAGTTGAGAGAAATGTGATTTTGCCTTGTGGCGAATTGATTATTTTATCAGCGAAATATAGAGCGTCTATAAATGTTAATCAAGAATGTTCAAGAGCATGAAAAGTATCGTATTTTATTGAACGCTGTTTGGCACTGCGACAAACGCAGCACTATGCGGAAATTTAATATACATACATCTCTGCTGAAATTCCGCAAATTCTTCACATGTACTCAAAACACTTAGCCGATAACTGCAATTATGTAATCGAAGAGCGCGCGCATTCACTTGATTAGATTTGATTTATTGAGTTATCGGATTTTTCGTCAACAAACAATTCATAATTTTCAATCAACCGGCCGTTGTATCGCGTGTTCAATCCAATCTAAATACAACAACGCGATAAAACTTTTAAATCATTGAATTTTGATGTAGCGATAATTTCTTAAAAAATTAACTACGCGAGAAATCGTTTTTGCATTCACTCATGCGAATAGGCGTAGCGCAGTTATAATACGGTTTCTATTACAAACTTAAGGAAGCATGGAGCATCATATGGCTTGAGAAATGCTCTATAGTCACCCTCGTCATCCAGGTGTAAAACTCCGGCAATTAATATCACTTCGTCCCTTACTACGGGAATGCGCAACTAACTGCGTAGGTTCTTAACTGCGAGAAGTTACACAGTAACGCACTATACAAAGTTAGATTTCAGAAACTTGAACTGTCGGATTTCAGAAACTTTGACCGGTAGTTCAATATGCTGCCGCAACTCGTACACTCGCACGCGTCTTTATATATTTTCAATCCCTTATTCTTCATATTTTAGCATGATTTAATTATTTTACTACGGATGTTTATTTTTACCGGCATCTACTGTGGAAATATTACACATCCCATAATCGATAATCTATTTTTCGAAGGGGAGACATATCTCCACGTATTTATCGCTGACATTTATCGCGGCATTCAAAAACGTTGTTTTTATTGAATGCTGACTAATAATCAAGTGATGCGCGTGCTCTCTATTCTTGGCACGTCTACGAGTATCGACATAGGTATACGGAGACGGCAAGGGGCGGCGGATGCGCACGGCCACAGATATTTCTGTCAGCTCATCGAATCAAAGCCTTAGAGCCATGTGCCAGGGCACGTGGCGTGCCATCTCCATCACAAGACCTTTAGCTGCATGCTGTTGAATGCCCCTCGTATTCGGAAGATCCATCGATCCGTTCGCTGCACAATGCGCATCTATATATTCGAATATCGCATACCACGCGTATTGCAGTAAAGAATGCAGATTCGCGCTTGATGAATGGGATCATATGTCCTTTGTTGAAAACAAAAAAATTTTTTTTTAATTTGATCCTCCGCTTTAATTTAATCCTCATCTGAATACACAGGGCGATCACGTACCGGAGCACGTGGGACCACCGGTGGCTTGTTGTTGCATTAAGCTCGTGGATGTTCCGGAGATGGAATATTTCGCGACGAATAATCAAGGCGAGGTGTGCGTCAAGGGCACTAACGTCTTCATGGGATACTACAAAGACCCTGAAAAGACTGCCGAAGTTATCGATGAACAGGGGTGGCATCACACGGGTGATATTGGCATGTGGCAGCCTGTAAGTAGTTATTTTAATTCTTATAACTATATTGCGCTGCGATCGTTACTTTTGTAATACGATCCAAGTTTCATCAATCAGTTCTTATCTGTAGATTTTTATATAAATATAAATTTATACGAATCTATATATTTATTATGTATTTTTTTGATTATTAATATGTTAAAATGATAAAAAAATCTTTGTTTAATCTAAAATTACGTCCAAATTGCTTTCAGAACGGAACGTTAAAAATAATTGATCGGAAGAAGCACATCTTCAAGCTGTCGCAAGGAGAATACATCGTGCCGGAGAAGATCGAGAATATTTATATACGTAGCCAATATGTACAACAAGTATTCGTCCATGGAGAGTCGCTGAAATCTTGTATCATAGCAATAGTAATACCAGATGTAGATGTAGTCAAGTGCTGGGCGGTGGAGAATCGCATACCAGGCACACTGAGCGTGCTGTGCGTCAATCCAGAAGTAAAAAAACTGATCTTGGATGACATGCTCGCATGGGGAAGAGAAGCTGGTCTTAAGTCGTTTGAACAGGTGATTTCCTTTTCTCTCATTCTGTTTTTGTTTGTGAGAATTTCAAACGATATTACATTTCTTTCAATTTCGTTTCTCTGAAAAGTAGAAATAAATTAATTGCCTAAAAAGCTGAAATAACAAATTTGGTGGAATCTGACAATTTAACTGTTTTGCCAGGTGAAAGATATATATCTCCATCCAGACCCGTTCTCCGTACAAAATGGGCTTCTAACACCAACGCTAAAATCGAAACGGCCTCAACTGAAAGCGTACTTCAAGCCACAGATAGAGGATCTCTATCAACACTTGGACTGACCAGATTGAGCGATCGCACTACCGTTCGCTCGCACCAGCACTGACTGTAAAAAAAGAAAAGATGGTAGAGAAGGAAGTGACAAACGCCTTTCCTCACCGCCGTTCTCTTCACCGAAGTCACTACTATCATCGAATATCCCTCGAAAACTTTTATTATGTATCATTTTCACAGGTACATTAGGGATGCAGACAAAAGCACCGTTTAAGCTAATTAAGGTAAAGGACAACATTACAAGTAATAAAAGAAGTTATTATTAGGCGCGTCTAGTTTTTCTCTTTCTCTCTCTCTCATTTACAAGCATCCTTTGATACTCTCGGTGATGTATGTATTTACAATTCGATCCCTACTGAAATATTCTTAATAATGTACACCCTTGTTGTTCTCGCGTAAGAGACGAATTATAGAATGCATTTTTAGTTAATAGAGTCCGTTGATGAACTCGCCCGATTATGGTCAAAATCACAACAGTTACACATAGTTGTTAATTCAAACATGAAGAGCAACGTCGAAAATCTTGAAATATTACTTAATAAATACATTTCTCGTTGAATATATTTTGTGGTTCGAAATGTCTTTAGAGAAACTTGAATGCAGGGCAATGTTAATCACTGGCCAAGCTTCCGGATAGCAACATTGAAACGGTTTTACGATCTTTTCCGTAGCACTTAAAAATATTGCATTTGATAATCATTCATTACTAATTATCTCCGAAGGGAATCGTAAAACCGTTTCAAGATTTATTTTCGTACGAGGATGGGCCAATATTTTTTTATATTAGACTTTACATAACACTGAGAACGGGATCTTTTGTTCTTGTTTGATAACATTCTGCCAGTTTTATACAGTTTACTCGCTTGTAACACTGCTTTGCTTAGAAGATCAAGGTTAGTCGTCTGATAGTCAAATCGATGAATCGAAGAATAAGTGTATATAGTGAAGACATGTGTCTTAAGGCAAAATGTAACAAACAAGTTCGAAAGTTGGATAGACGATATGATATATAATAATTTAACGAACCTCGCAATTTGATAAAAATAACATTTTGAAGTCTCTGATAATAAATATGGCTTCCAAACTATACGAATGGATCTGGCCGAAGGAAGTGTCTGTTCCTTAACTCTTAGACTTAAAGCTATAATATATCACAATGCATGCAACAATTATGAGTACTAATGCCACCGTTGCTAAAACGACTCTCTGTTGGAGGCTTCGGAAGATCATTCCTGATAATAACCGAGATCCACGCCCCAACTCCGCGTCTGTTTCTCGTAACTGAAGCACAAAAAAGAAAAGAAAAGCAACGTCATTATAGATAATTATTTTTTTCTTATACAAGTCATGTTTATTTCATACTTTAGAATGAATGTATAATTTACCCTTCCTCTGCTTCGCTGTATCGTTTCTCGCTGTTCGTGAAGGTCCTTTAACACTTGAGAACCGATTTCCTCTGTTTCCAACGCCATGCGATAACCATTCTGTAGCGTTCGCCCCGAGCGTTCTATCCTCTCGGACGAGTCCAACAGTCTTTTCCTTTGGTCTTCCGTTACGTTATTGTCCCAAGATTCCTCCATCGTGATTTCCGTGACGTCCTCCTTTGGTTTCTTCGCCGTTTGAAATTCTTGCGTCAAGCGCTTCAATTCCGCTCTGTGACTTTCAACGCGACCGCGTAGACGATCGCGAGCCGTTCCGTTCATCCCGCGTACCTCCAGCTCCATTTGCTCCAGCTGCAAATTATAAGTAGACTCTGGTTTGATAAACATTTTGTAACAAAACGCTGCAAATGAAAATGATGAATAGATAAAACAGATATTTAGACACTTAATTGTTCCTGGTTTTATTGACCAAATTTATGCTAACTTTTACCCTCTTTTTATTGCTTTAATTAAAATAAAATGGTTCTTCCAGACTTAATGGAATACTGTTTTTATAATTCTCTAACTTCAAATATTTTTAAATACTTTTAGTTTAAATTTTATAAAAATTCACTTTAAACAGAACATAAAGCATTATCTATTTATATTTTTCATTTAAATGCTATCAGTGTCTAAGTTTTTAATTAATTAATTCAAAAATAATTGCCTTAATATTCTTGTTAAAAAGACATGGCTTCCAAACTGATCAAAGAATTGACATAAAAGCAAATGTAAAAAGCATAGAATTAGAAGATTTTTTACAGCTGACAATTCTGTTAGTCATTCTGTGTGTGTATGCTACACATCAAGGACTCTGATTCAATTATTCATATGGAATACATTATCTATACATAAATTAGTCTCTCAATCAAACGATTAGTCAACAATCAATACCCAGTTAGTCCTGTTGACACAAAATGTTCTGTGTTACATATACCTTCTACAACGACATATTACGTCGATCTTTTCATAAAAAAATATACATAATTACAAAGTACACAATAGTTTTCTAACCCCACGTTACGATTTATCTTTCGACAATTGAAAAAATTGAAACGTAGCAACTTTTGCCTCCCCATTTTAATTTGCCGTGTATCTGAGGATATAAATTTAATTACCAGTTCTTGAGCTTCTTCAATTTGCCGGTCCACATCCTGAATAAAAGCCCTTTTCTCACCTGCAAATTACGTCACGTATATCGATTATTGTTCTTTAATGCTGATTACGCGTGACGATACACGCCTCGCGTATCACCGCACGTAAAGCGTGATAGTGCGACGCATTTTAAAGGTGTTTTTCGACCGCACTTACTGCCGCTCTGGATTCTTATCCGGCCGATTTTCGCAGTGATGTCAGCTGTCAAAACGGCGTACTGCTGCTCGTAGTTGTCAATGAGCGACGCCATGTTGGACACAGGTGTGCCATTGACTACTGACGCGAACCAGATGACGATTCCGAGTGTAAAACGTAAGGCGATATCGCAACAGAACAAACCTTTTGCTCACCTCACTCTGTCGTCTTTTTTGCGCGCAATAGTTGCTCGTTAGAATACAAATTGCAAGATACAATCTAATTTTATATATTAGCGCAGTCGCAAAATAGTAAACAAGTTCTAGAAATCGGTAAAAAATAAAGCCAACAGTTAGAAATGCAAATAAATTTAACAGACTGCTGGTTTATTGATATTTTGTTGTTTATGTAATTATTTTACAAATTGTGGAGCGTTAAAAAAATTGTTATTAAATTAATATTTATAGACTTAAATTATTATTTTACGTACAATATTTATTTCGAATTTTTTAGTGTATTTAATTTTTTTTTTTATGAAAGTGAAGTTAAAGGGAACACATCTGTGAGATTTAAACGGGTTAAATGTCATCTACGGCTTCGGAGTATCGCCACGAAGGCGACACGTCACTAACCATCGGCCAATCCTGGTGAAACCCTAGACGTTCCTCCAATGACTGTTTCGTCGATTTCGTGAGCGCGCCGGCACCGGAAACGTGTTCTCGACAGTCGAAATGATGATGGCTGCCGAAGTGAGGTGGCTTTTAATTTTTCTTATATCGTGCGTCACCCCGTTGTGCCACGGCGAAACGCTGCATCGGAAATTCGAGTACAAGTACTCGTTCAAGCCACCGTACCTCGCCCAAAAGGATGGCAGCGTACCGTTCTGGGAATACGGCGGAAGTGAGTACAATCACGTAGGCTGTATAACCTAATCGACACCTGTCGGCTCGCTCCGGTTGCTTTCCGTATGTTATCCTCACGTGGTTCATCTACGCGGTATCGAAGACAGATGTGTCATTTTTTCCGAGTCCCGAGATAAAAATTGATCTGACCTTGATCTCAGTAGCGCATTTCCAGTGCACAACGCACGCATCGAACTCCGAAAGGGATCAAAACATTGATGACGTGTGTATACAGTTCTTGCTCGTACACGAAAATAAACTACGATTGATGACTGAATATAATACTCTGTAATTAATATATACAATGTATTGGATGTCAGATATATTGGAAGGAAGGCAATTATCGTTAATATTCAATAATTATTTGCATCTTAATAACAGTTCAGCTTTTTATCTAATGGTAATTTACATAGAATATGTATGTAGAATGAGATAAGATTAATTTTTTTTATTGCATAAAAGTGTATTGAAGCATTCCTTGGTATTGAAAAGGATTCTTCTCTTGCTTATCTAAGAAAATATTTAGTATTGATATTAAAATCTTATAGATATATGCTGAGTTTAATTGAACATATGCTTTACTTATCTTATCAAAACAACTTGTTATTATTTTGTTTGACTGAAAATTATAATGTATTTAATTTAAATGTAATATATTTGACTTAAATTGCTTATTTTTTATATATACATTTTTTATATTTTATATTGCAGATGCCATTGCTAGTGCAGAAAATGTGAGAGTAGCACCATCACTTAGAAGTCAAAAAGGTACAATCATAAATTTGTAATAATTTAAATGATTTCAGAATAAATTATTTGTAACAAGTTTTACAAATATTATGTGAGAAAGATTTTATTAAATTTGATTGACAATAATTTACATTACTAAAATCACAATTTACAAATTACAATTTTAATAATTAGTGAACATATAAATTTAAATTCGTTATTAAATTGACAACTTATACATCAATTTTACAAGGAATCTAAAAAATATTATTTAGGTGCAATATGGGTAAAGCAACCAATCAATTTCGACTGGTGGGAGATAGAAATAGTATTTCGTATAAGCGGACGAGGAAGGATAGGAGCAGATGGTTTGGCATTCTGGTACACGACTACCAAAGGCACCTACAATGGCACCGTTTTTGGTAGTTCGGATCTTTGGACAGGCCTAGGAATTTTCTTTGATTCATTTGATAACGATAATAAGCACAACAATCCATATATCATGGCGATTGTGAACGACGGCACGAAAATTTTTGATCATGCAAAGTAAATTGTGTAATTTATCAACTTGCATATTGATATATAATTGAAACATTATAAATAATCTTAAATACTTTGTTTTGAAACAGTGATGGCTCTACGCAGCAATTAGCTGGTTGCTTGCGAGATTTCCGCAATAAACCATTTGCCACGAGAGCGCGAATAGAATATTATCAGAACACGTTAACAGTGAGTACACTGGAAATTTTTTTACAGTTTTTATCTCGACACTTTGATTTAATTGACATTTTTTGTTAAAGCTTCTATTCCATAATGGCATGACGAATAACGAGCAAGATTATGATATATGTTTCCGAATTGACAATGTTGTGCTACCAAAAAATGGATTCTTTGGAATTTCAGCCGCTACTGGTATGTTCATAAAAAATATTGACGATGTATCTTATATCAAAATTACATTATATTAAGATGTATTTTTCTTTATTTAGGTGGCCTAGCCGATGATCATGACATCTTACATTTCCTTACCACTTCTTTATATTCTCCTGGACAGCTACCAGTTGATGGGCATAAAGTTTCTTTAGAGGAACAAGCTAAAATTCAACAGGAATACTTAGACTATCAAAAAAAATTGGATGAACAGAAAGAGGAATATCGCAAGTAGGGATGCAGTAATTTTTACAATACGATATTGCATTATGCATCGTATCTCAATATCGATATCTTATTTTGCCAGAGAACATCCAGATCAGTTTCGCAAGTCTGAATTTGAGGAATACTTTGAAACTGAAAACCAAAGAGAGTTACGGCAAATATTCAATGGACAAAGTCAGATGTTCGATGTCTTGCGTGAACTTAACAGAAAATTAGACGAGATTGTCGGAAGGCAAGAGAGAACGTTGGGTTTGATATCTCAAGTGCAACCAGGTCAAGCGGGTAAATTATCCTCACGGATTGCGGTCATCATGTAATTTGTATCAAAATAAGCATCATGTATTAATTAATTTATTTTAACTATATAATTAGGTGTACAAGTTACGGGTCAGCCAGGACAGCAACCCGTGCTGATTGACACCATACGTCGGCAGGAGGTCGACGCTGTGTTGAATAATCAAAATATTATATTAAACACAGCCAGGGAAATTAAGTCTTTCGTAGGAGAGGTTCATTCCAAAGCTGAGTCTATTCTCAATAATCAAGCACGCGCCCCGACAGCACAGGTTTGTACAATTTATGTACTTTAAAGGTAACAATAAAATCTCATAGAACTCTTATTTCAATAAATAAAATGTTGCAGGTGCAACCGATGGGATACGATTATCAATCGTTTATATCAGAGATGCGAGACGGACTTAACACATTGAAAAAAGACATTAAAAACACCGACAGCGGAGATTGTCCCAGTTGTCTCACAACAACGATGTTTTTGCTGTTTATCGGCTTACAGATGATATTATTATTTGCATATAGTTTTTATCGGTAATATTGCATATAATATAATCAACAATTTTGTGTGTAAGATACGTAATACTGATTTTTTGTTTTTTTTTTGTCTTGCAGGGACAATAAGGAAGCACAAATGAAGAAACTCTACTAATGTACGCATTGTCCGCGTGATAAACAATACGTTCTTGTTTGTGGATTATGACTCGATATTTTTATTACTCGTTGTTCGTATTCGCGAAATATGCGTGTCTCTCATCATTTGTATAATAAATGCATCTTTCATCTGCCAGATCTGAACAATCGTCAGATATTGCCTCGCAAGGACAACAACGCATCTCACAGTGATGTGACTCGCCGTTTTTAGTATTTTCTTTTAAACGAGAGGCCACCTTTATTAATGAAATGTATCACAAGCATTGTATTCTGGCAGAACGCGTACATGGGATTTGGATGAATGTTTAAGGGTTGCTTATAAGGTTTAGTCGGTCTTATAATTTCGGGATTTCTTAAAAATATCTCACAATTTTCTTTACATGTTCTTATGTATTGGATGTATATTTTTTCACTATCGATCATCGCGAGCTTTATTGTTGAGCACACATAGTATTTTTGAGAACTCCATTTTGTAATAAATGTCTCCATTGTTGATTTCGTTGCAATGTGATTTTCTACGTTAATCTTTATACTATATTTTGTACCATGCATTTAGTACTCGAATATATGATAACTTTATTCATAAGAATTGATACTTTCGTCGTTTATGATCATCAGCAGGTGCGACTGCACCATTCTCAAAGCAAAGAGTACGGCGGACAATCCTTACGGTTTATAATAATGGTTTTAGATATGATAATTCAGCTATTTCATCAGATACTACTGTAGCGGAGATTATTTTGCATTTGAACGTGCATACTTGCGTGTATTACAATTTACTTTGTCGTGTGAACTCGGTCGTGTGCAATGACTGCATTTCTGAAACTACAGTAAGAACTCTAAAATATGTATACGTGTGTAAGATGCATGAGTACTAGTGATAGTATATGAGAGCGGAATGAGAAGATCTCTGAGTTCGTTACTTCCCACATCATTGTATTTGTAAAAGTTTATTGAATATTGTAAATGTACAAGGAGATATATCTGATAATAAAAATATAAAGGCGGAAAGGAGGAATCGCGCGAACCGATCTATTGCGAGACATGCAAGAAATGATATATTACTCGAGTTTCTATTGAAATATTTAAAATTGATGAGATTCAGTTTAAAAAAGTAATAACATTTTTATTTATAAATATATTTTTATATTTCTGAATAATTGTTACATTTATTAAATGTATCGCATTGGTTTTGTAGACAAGTTGATAAAATGCCACAATAATTGTTATTATTATCACGCGCGAACATTCCATGGATTTGGAAATAATCTGGAAAAGGTAAATCTTTTAAATTTAAATAATACATTTATTTCTTTATTTCTTAATATTGATTTTATTTATATTTGATTTGTTATATATCTAAGATATGTGACCCAAATTATGTTGAACAGAGGAAATTGTGCTCTTCCAAAGCATACTACAAGAAAAATTTAATCGTATTATCGAAATAATTTGTTCCAGGTAAGTAATTCCGTGAGAAGTAACCTGTGGAAAACACGACTAATTGATGCTGGTGAAAAAAATACAAAAACGAAAAAAGGAATACGACAGGCAAGTCAAAAAGTACAAATTTTTCAATCTACATAAATATGTAATGTGGTGGTATGTATAGCCATGTATTCAAGTCAGTGGAAGACAATAATTTTACCTATTGCTCACATGCATTTATAACAGTAGTTAAAAGCAATTTAACAATTTGCTTTCCTTATTTAACGCACAAATTTATCCGTTAAAATATTAAAATTTATTTGCTTCTTTGTTGGTTAGCAGTGTTTACTACCGAGTGACCTTCTAGCAACTATTTACATGACATAATGTATGTGTTATATTAACTACCATATCTATCAGCTGCCAATGCCTTTCTTAGTGTTCGGTGATTTCTCGAAACAGTAAGATAGCGAATGAGTTTATATATCTAAGGCGTTTACATTTGAAACGGTGTATTGTATTAATTGTAATTAGTATAAATGATTAATTCTACAAACTACGCACAACTTTAATATACTTAGGTGAGTTAATAAAAAAGACATGAAATATTTCTCAATATAAGTATAGAAAAATTTTTAAATACTTCTTTTAGAAGCATTTTTCAAAGTTATCAAAATCAACTAATGTTTTCTTTAATTCTTCTGTTGTTTAATTTTGTGCTCCCAGCTGAATTACAGTTAACGGTTTATTTTATGACTGTTCTGAAATAAAAATTAATTAAACGGATATCGTCAACTGTTTAAAAATAATCGTCAAAAGCGTATTATTTTGATGTTTTTCGGATTTCTTTCATTTCAGTTGCATTTGAAGGTTTCATAAAACATTTATATTTTGAATAAAATTTTTTTGTATATAATATTAATACTATACACGCTTAACAAAATGTTTTATTTTCAATAAAATAATTTTTCTTGCAGAAATTTCTGTTACGTGACATAGAAAATAAAATGACACACCAAAAGCTTTCAATATTTATGGAATTTATGTTAATTGTTACAATAGCTTTTTTCGCTGCTATCAATGCTGAAGATAATGTTGCAATTACTTATAATTTGCCAAACAATATAGTACCGCATTATGACGTCAAATTAATATTTGATTTCGATGAAAAGATTTTAGTGGGCGATTGCAATATTACTATTTTTATTGAAAGTCTAACAACAAATTTAACTATACCTTCAGGGATTTTTTCCATACTTAATGTTGTTTTAATTGACCATTTTTATGAAAGAAGAATTTATATTTCAAAGTATTCGATCATCAATAAACCGCATGTGCTTATTATTGATTTTACTAACGTAAAATCGCCAAAAATGTATCCACAGTTTTTAATACCTGGGAAATATACTATAAAAATAACATATGTACATCATATGAATGATAACACAAATAACTTCTCTCAAATTTTATTTCAGAACCAAGATGAAATGTAAGTAAAAAATGTTGAAAGCATCTTGCTGTATTATAAAATAACAGTTGCTATTATTCTTCACAAACTATGTTCACTATATTCATCGTCATCGTGCCTAAAATTGTCAACTACAAAAAAGATTTAAAATTTTTTAGAATATTGCTTAAATGTATACAACATTACGCACACAATTTGTCGATTTTGAGAGATACAAATATGTTTGCAATGGATACATTTAGAACAATTTACGTAGAAATGTGATAAATAGTTGAATTTTTCGAAACCTGACATTTTTCAGTCTATTCTTAATCAATTCTCGATCAAATTATAATCAAGATTTTATTTTAAGAGAAATGAATAATCTATTGTTAAAATATAGGTTGACTGCAACAAGAAATAATAATAATGATAATACGATGCATGAAATAATGATAGCTCGACAATTATTCCCATGTTGGGATGAGCCAAAACTGAAAGCCACCTTCAAAATTTCTATCAAGCTTCATAGAAATACACTGCTCTATCAAATGCACCAATACAAAAACTAGAAATGGATGAAAATGACATGATATTGACACACTTTAAAAATTCATCTTTTATACCCATTCATCATTTAAAAGTTATAATATCCACGTTCACTGCGATTTCTACATATGCAAACGTCACATTTTGGTGTAACACAAGAAATAACATGACACAATATTTACTATTTGCGACGTTTGTTGCCGAACGAGCCTTGTATTTTTTCAAAAACCAAATTACGATAAAAATACCAGAAATGAATTATATTGTATTTTCGGATATTAGATACAGCAGCTTTGAAGCACGGAAATTCATTCTTCAAAGGTAATATCCGTTATTAAGAATTATTCAGACCAAATAAAAGAAGATTTAAAAATCTAATAATTTTTTAAAACAGATAGATATACATATTTTTATGTCAATACGTTAATTAAGAAACATCTAAAATTTATACAATGTTACTTGCATCACATCAAAAAAATATCTTTATGTTTTTTCTAAGTAAAAAATTTTGAAGTAATCATTCTTTATATTAAATTAAATTTCAATTTAGTTTTTAGTACAAACGCATGTAAAATAACTATTCATTTTACATTGTAGAAATAAACGCAAGTGTTATAAAATCTTTTTTATTATATGAATAATATTGAGAAAACTCATCAAAGGATTTCTCTTCCAAACTCTATTCTTTTCTACAAAAAAAAACAATTACAAAAAACGTTTATAACTGATTGACGTTTATAATAGATTGTTGATCAATTATTATTACATGAAAACAATTTTCAGGAAAGAATATGTTACTTACAACGAACAATTGCATCCTTGTAGGCGTAAAATAGAAGTGGCACACTTAATAATTCGTCAGATGGCATTTGTTTGTTTTGGCGATGCATTTTTATGGACAAAAAAATGGTTTTGCTACATTTTTTGAACTGTATATTTTGAATGAGGTTGTTTGAATAAATATTTTTTTATCGATATAGTACATTTTTCAAACTACTGAATAAAACAGTCAAAAAGTTTATCAGCAACGTTGAATATGTGTTACAACTATAAATATATTTTTCAATAAAATATTTATTTTATCACCTATCAATTTTTTCAGATTATTCCAGAATATCGCCCAATGGATTTATTTGCGTGGAAAGACAACAGGAACTTTTCCGGCTCCATACTTTTTCTAATATGTATTCTTTTAGATTAAACATTCATGAAATTCATACACTTAGGTTTCCGCCACATTATTCAAAATGTAAGTTCAAAAAACAATAACTAAAATATTATATGTAATTGAGATAATATAATTAAAAAATGTTGATAAATATACGTATATTCTTAAATTTTTTGACAAAATACAACAAAAATGAATTTTTTGTTGCAATTAATATATAAATATCGTTATTAAAGTAAAAATAAATATACCACAAAATACTAAATAAGTACTTTATAATTTCAATTGTTACAGTATTAGTTATATGGCGCATGTTATATCATATAATGACTCGTAAGATATTTTGGTTTGGTATCAACACGTATGTAAACATGCAGTGAGTAATATCATTTATATCTTTTAATAGTAATGATTATGATATAAAAAAATGGGAGCAATAAAACAGATGACATGCTTATCAAATTCTATATCAAGAAACATAGAAATTAACAGTTTTAATACATAAAAACTGTTAACCGTTTTAAATTTGTCGGCTGCTTTTGGTTACTTTTCATGTAAAGAATTTTAAACACAATGCATTGCGGAATTATTATTAAAAGTAAATAATGTAATTCTAAAATTGATAATAAAGATTTTTGCAATGTTAATTTTTCAGGAATAATCTGACAGATGCGACAGATACTGATGGTATATTTAATATCACATCATTTTCGGCTGCTATGCACAGGGCTCTAAATGTAACGAATAGTACACTCGATATAATAAATTTTTACAATACTTGGTTAACAGAAGCACATTATCCCATACTGTACGTGGCAAGAAATTATATCAGTAACGTAACAATAATCTCGTATACTTATTATCATCGTGCATCGCATGACAATAAACCATTTTCAATATATGTGACATATACGACGGAATCAATCATGAACTTTGAGACATTAAATGCCAAAGAATTCGTCTGGCTGACTCCAATTACACCGGATTATTTGGTATTGCCTGCGATTGACAATAAGGATTGGATTATAGTCAATTTACAACAAACTGGTAAATATTAAACACGTACTATATTGTTCTTCCGTCTTTATTCTCTATAATTTATGTTTTATTATCCCATGCTTGGTAATCAGATGTATGTTTTTTTTATCTGAAAATTTATATTTGGTTGATACTATTCAAAACTGAAAATAATATATTAATATATGTCACAATTATACACTACTCATAACAATCAGGCGGTCAAGAATAATCGTTGAAAGAAAGCAATCTTAAAAGTAATGTAACTTTGCGAAAAATTAACGTATTTCAATTCAAACTTTTTCCTTCTTTTGATCGTTTTATTAGCAGTAAAGAGCACACATTTAATGTTCGAGAAATAAAAGTTTATTACAATAAATGATATAGATAATAAATGATACAATGATATAGAATGATATATAAACGTTGAATGGAGTTCGCGGCACTTAAAATATAAGAATACTGAATATCAGAACTTCTCTAATTTAACAGACAAATTAAGTATTAATTTTCACGCTAAGACCTTGCGCACAAGTGACTAAATCACTTTAACTTTACTTAGTCATTAGACCTTATATCTGTAAAACATTATAACATACATATATCATAAACTCACATCTTTCCGAGCACCTGTCTGAGCTTTACATTAAGAGGAAAGTAATACTTCTTGGACCTTTAATTCAAATTGAGATCTAATTCAGCACTTTCAAATGCCTTCTACTAATTCTTTTTTTTTTTTTACAAAACGACACTATGATAAGACTTGATACGTTAAAATAAAAATTTTTAACGTGACTTTGCAACATTACATCTGGCTTGTAAAAAATCGTCGAATATTTCTGTTAAATGCATTTTGTAGTGAAATTTCTTTAACAAAAATTTCCTTTAGTTCGAATGATTGTTGATCGTAATGCGATTTTCTTTGAATGAGTTATCAATTCCACAAAAAACTTTGTCTTAATAATTTTAATCGGACCTTCGCGAAGGAAGCTTCGCGACACTATACCGAGTTAAAGAAAGAGATAATACATGCAACTTTTTACGTGTTTTTTTAATCTGATTTTTTATGTTAAAAAATTGGGCCAAATAGCAATATTAGCATTCGGAAGCCTAACTTTCAGTAATGTAATTTATTATACATTTTATTCAGAAGAATAAATTATTTGAGAAAAATGTTTAGAAGAAAATAATGATATTTGCAAACATTTCTTGACAAATTTGATACAGACAATTTTATTTAAAAAATATTATTTTTGTGTCATAGGATACTATCGCGTCAATTATGATGAGGATAACTGGAAAAAACTTGCAAACTATTTATATAAAAATCATGCCAATATACATGTTCTCAATCGAGCCCAAATCATTGATGATGCATTTTATTTTGTTCAGCAAAGAGAACTCAATCCTACCATATTTTGGAGTGTTATAAGATACCTATATAATGATACAGACTATGTAGCATGGTATCCTATGATTAAAGCTATTGAATATATGACGTGTGTTTGGGCACTTCCAGATGATATAATTGTAATATGATATAATAATAATAGTAAATTTTTGCAAAAAAAGAATAATATATAACATTAAAGCACTGTAATCATATAAAAAAAGTTCAAATTAATGTGTATATGTGTAAATATACTTATATCATCTTTCTCAAAAATGACAATGAATTTAATATTGCTGTTATTTAACAATTTTTAGCACAATATTAATAACATATTCCGCAATCTGCTGCTAAATTTGAGATACCATGACGAAATAAACGAAAGCGAGTTAACTAAACGTTTAAGAGAAGAAGTGATGAAATGGGCATGTGCTTTCAATGCACCGGAATGTAGAATAATAGCCACATTACAATTAAAAAAACATTTTGAAAGTACAAATACATATTCTGTACAAGACAAGTAAGTTGTTTTACAACCACCATATTTGTATAAATAAGTTTTGTGACATTATTTACCCTATGCTTAGTAAATTATTTAAATATTAAATTTTAAAATATTGTAGTTAAATGTTGCATAAAATATTTCTTTTCTTCTGATAATGCAGACTTGGACAGAATTGGAAGGAACGGTTATACTGTAAAGGCTTAATGTCAGCAGACATGAATACTTGGGTCATGGTATTTCAGCAATGGAATGCAACATTTGATAATACAATTTTAGATTACTTAACTTGCTCTACAAATCCTGATATTATTAAATTCTATTTGCAATTAGTAAAAAATGATGTTTTTTATTTAAGTGTAACAAACAGTAAAATAAATGTTAATATTATTCTCCTTATTATTGCGAAACATGCAAGAAAGGATACAGTACTCAATTATATATTCAATCATTTAGAATTCTTCGACTTAAGTGGAAAAAGGTGATTACGTTTTTTTATTAATATATCTTAACATTTATGAATATTTGTTATATTTGTAAAATATAATACTTTGCTTTTGTAGGCATATTGATGAAATTGCCATATTAATTGTTATCATAACGCACGAGCATGATGTTGAACAATTCACAAAGGTATATTTTTCTATATGCGTATAACGTTTTCATTACTTGACTCTTTTATATTGAGCTTATTTGTATTTACTTTGTGACATACATAGGTGATATTTGACCCAAATGCATTTAACGTATCAATTTAGAATTTCTTCCTTTGTAGTTAAAGAAAAATACTATATATTTATTAATATGTGTTATATCATGAAATAATCTGTTTTAGGTAATTAACTTCGTTAAAAATAGTTTGAACAAAAATCTAACTGATTCTGTAGAACAAAAAATTAAAAAACGAGAAAGGGAAATGGATCAAAAAGTCGACAGGTTTAAGTTTCTCAATCCAGACACGTTCTAATGATGTAGTATAAAAAGCCAAACACTTAAATCGATAGAAGATAATAATTTTATTTGTTTCTCACCAGCATTCACACACACACATATATTAATCGTTCATTTATGTAATCATCTTCTTATTGTTATACTTATCGACATAATGTCCGCGTATATAAATTTCTTTGTGTTAATTCACTACACTGACGTCTGTGTTCAGATGTGTGTGATCAGATCACACATCAGTATTACATTATTCTGTTACCGTAATGCGGAATAGCTGCAATCCATTCTTTCATATTTGATATCACTCTATTCATTGCTTTCGTTTCAATAAAATTTAATTTATTTAAATGTTAGTACATATAAAAAATCATATTTATATTAGGAAATAAATATTTTTTGCAAATTTTGCATCATTAATAAATGTTAGCTATGCTTTTGACATCAATATTGTTCCATATTGCATGAATATAAAAGTTATATACTCTATCTCTATTCTGCTTTTGTAAATTAATGGGTTATGGTAACAGCTTTTGTCTTTTTGATATCTGGCAGAATTTGCGCGCGGTACGTCATTAACATTTTTAATAAAATAAATAAGTAAATTATTTTTTTTACCTGTTACGAAACAAAAAAAAAAAAAAAAAAATATATATAGATTTGCTTAAACACATTATTTAACGAAAAAGTATTTTAATAAAATCAAAGGCGAAATAATAATAATACTAAATAAATGATATTTACGTAATACAATATATTATACAATATGCAATAAATGTGCAATACAATGAATTACACAATATTTTGACAAATTTAGTGCATGTATATGTGCAAGGTATGTAATTATAATTTAATATAAATTGATTTTGTGCAAAAAAATATTAAATTTTATTATTTTGATATACAATAATTCGAAAAATTATTTATTTGAAAAGTATAATTTTTCGCATATTTTCTATATTTCCTATAACAGTAGTTAAAAGCAACGTAGAAATTTATTTTTTATATTTTATACACAAATTATCTAATTAGATATCAACAATTATTTACTTCTCCATGTTTTTAGTACAGTTTCCGTTACTGTGTAATGTAACTTTCTAGAAACTATTTACATTGTGTATTTATTATGTTAGCTGCCAATATTCTGTTTAGTGTTCGGTGACTTCTCGAAGCAGTAAGATAGCGATTAAATTTATATATCTTTAGCACTCGCAATTCAAGACAGTGTACTGTACTATTGTTACAAATTGTTAATTATTACGAAGTACCGCAATTTAAATTTTCACATAATTTTAATATATATAGGTGAGTTACCACATGTGAAAGATTTCTCATTAAAAATATACCAAAAATTTCGAAAGCATAGCAAATACGGTTCTATACTGTCAATAACGTATTCTCCAGTGCTAACATCTTTCACTATTCGTTTACTTTCTTTTTTTTTTTAACTTATACTACGAAAACTCAGATAACAACAATTAAGCAAGCAATTGTTTTAATGTAATATTTTTGTATTAAATATATGCCATACGTTGAAATGGCATATATTATGATACAATTATATCAATATTAACAAAAAATGTTGATTTGATTCTGTGAAATTTTATTCTGTTCCTTGAGCTTAGTTTACATATAATTACACTAAAAAGATATTTAATATTATAAAAATGCAATTTTTATTAGAAATATGTAATTAAATTATAGGAGTAAATAAAAAGCAAGGCTCGGCCAAAGCTCGGTGTCCGTGCTAAGTATATTATAAAAACAATCTTGAAAACATTAACGTTTCGACCACAATTTGGTCTTCTTCAGAATTCAATGATTTAAAATATTACCTCGAATAAAATAACAAACGCTTTCGGATCAATATAAAAAATAATTTCTTACCGTTTATGTGTTTCAAAAAAATTTGCTTTGCCGATTTTATATATGTCGTAATTAAATAGAATCCCGTCCAGTTCAATAATTAACAAAATAAATTTCTTTTTCAGTTGCATAGATACAAATTTTTAATGAAAATTTCGGTGATTTACAATATTCGAGATATTCTTTAGTCAAAGAAAAATCAATGATATACTTAGCCAATTATAAAACTAAACTTCATGTGTCAAAAAAGAGAAAACAAGTAATTTGTGTAACAGTAAATTTTTTACTAAAAATGTTTAACTTTAAAACTGAAAAAGAAATTTATCTTGTTATTTATTGAGCTGGAAAAGATTCTTTTTTATTACGACATATAATATAAGATCGGCGACGCAAATTTTTATGAAACACATAAGCAATGAGAAATTACTTTTTTATATTAATCCGAAAACGTTTTTTAATATATTCGATGTAATATTGTAAATCGTGGAATTCTGAAGAAAATCAAATTGTAGTCGAAACGTTAATGATTTCAAAATTGTTTTTATAATATATTTAGCGCAAACACCTAGCCTTGATCGTTTTGCTTCTTGTTTACTCCTTTAATTTTGAATTTATGTTAGCTTTTGATTACAGTTTCTGTATTTAATTTTTATTTAATTAAATTATGTTTTCTGTAAGATTCTGTGTAACATCTTGTATTCAAAATTTCATTTTTTCCAACGCTACTAAAAATAATTTTTTTCTTTTTCAAATTCTACTCCGCATTAGAATGATTAACTGTAATTTTTTATTTATTATTTATTTTTTGCGATATAGCGGTTAAGTGCTTTGTACTCGCAAATGTGTTTCTCTTTAATCAATAAATTCTTCTTGCAGATGCTTTAAATGAAAATTACCATGGCATTCCGACAAGTTCTGTTAAATGTCGAATTAATATTCATTGTGATAATTATACTATCTATTGCAAAATTTACAAAAAGTGATACTAAAACTAATTACAATATTTTGAATGACACTGATATAATACCATTGAATTATAATGTTAAAATAAAATTTGACGTATACAGAAATATTATTTTTGGTAAATGTTATACCACAATAAAAGTTTGTCGACCAACGAAAAATATTACTATCATGGGCTCAGAGACTTTTGCTATAGTTAAAATTCATTTATTTAACAACGATACTAATCAAACTATAGACATCTCAAAATATTCTTTTATCGACAAAACGTACATTCATCTTGATTTCACCCAGTCTTCAATAGATTTTTTATCTCCTGGTACGTATATCTTAAAAATTATATACGACCGTACCATATTAGATGACGGTGACTTTTTCAAATTTTTCTACACAGATAAAAAAGAAGACAAAGTGTAAGTTAATATAATCAATTATTAATCAAATTAAAATTTTTATATTAATCACACATTCAACATAAAATAGATTAAACAAGGATAGTATGATAATAAGAGCACGACAACTATTTCCATGTCTGAACGAGACGGTATTTAAATCAACCTTTCACATTTACATTAAGCATCATAAAAACTACACAATTTTATCGATTCTGCCGATATCCGAAAAAACTGACGATTCGAATAATATGCTGTGGACTCTGTTTGACAAATCACTTTCAATGTCCGTTGAACGTTTAACATTTGTGATGACAACATTAAATTATGATTTAAATGATTTTCCTCGTGATGCAAATCTCAAATTTTGGCATAGAAAAAAGATAACAGACCAGTTGCAATATGCAAAAATCTATGCTTCTAAAGTTCTGAGATACTTGACAGAAAAAAATGAAAAAAAATTACCAGAACTAAATTACATTATAATTAGAGACTTTCAGTTCAATTACGGAAAGATAAAGGGATTTATCTATTAAGGTAATACTAATTGAATAAAACCAAATTGAATAAATTATAAATAATAAACAATAAACATATTAAATTATAATATTCTAAAAAATATTTATTTTAATGTTAGTATGATTATTAGAGAACAACTAAAACATACCACTTACATTACTGCTAAATTTAACTTTATTACTGATTTATCCTTAAATTTATTTTTACCTTAAATTATAATTATTGTTTATTTGTTGTCTTTGTTAATAATTTGTACTTACTACAGCGACATTACACATATTCATTAACTTGCATAATTATCATAAAAATTTTGGGTATATTTTTAATATTTAAAAACAACTTTTAGAGAAGAAGATGTTGTTTATAATGAGACATTAGATCATGTTGTCCGCAAAATGGAAATAGCAAACTTAATAGCACATGAAACGATATCTTATTGGTATGATGATGTGTTTCTATGGGCAAAAGACGGATTTATTGCATTTCTTGCAGCACATACTTTGCATCAGGTTTTTTTATACTCTTACTAGTATACAACATTTTCAGACTTATTAATATTAACGATCAAATGTTAATAGCAGCTGTTAGCAGCGCTAAATACATGCTGCCAAAATTCAAATACATTTCTCTACTACCTATACATATTTACTCGATCATGTCACTTTACAGACTTACTTGTATCACATGAATTTATTTGTCGTCCAAACACTACAGGAGTCTTTACGACTTAATAATTTTTTTTATCCATCACACTTCGCATATGACTCTATAGTTCATCCATATAGATCATCTCATCATTACATAAAATGTAAGTTTAAATAAATAAATGTAATTAAATATTAAATTTAATTAACATATTTAATTACAATAAACATTATTAAAATAATGTAATTAAAATATTATTTATAATTAAAAGAAATATAATTTTAAATTATTCATTATTATACGTAAATTCTTAAATTTGTAAGTAATAGAATAATAAAAAAACTTAACTACAAATCGATTCAAGTACAACTTGCTTGTACATAAAATTTATTATAAGTATATTAAGAGTAAAAATTAATACTATTTTAAAATATTAATTGCTATTATGTCATAGTGATTAATACTATATTAAAAGTAAAGAGAAACTACTTAATTATTACTTTATAATTTGAATTGTCGCAGCATCCGTTATATGGCGCATGTTATATAATATAATATCTGATGATGTGTTTTGGACAGCTATCAACAGATATGTAAACACACTGTGAGTAAAATTTTTTTATATGTTTTAATAGTGTCAATGATGTAAAAAATGTGAACAACAAAATATACATGACATGCTTCAAATTCTACTATTCAAAAACATAGAAGTTAATCGTTTTGAATTTATCAACAACTTTTAGTTATCTTTTACAGAAAGATTTTTATTCAACACATTGTAGAATTATTATTAATAGTAAATAATGTAATTGATAAAAAAGATTTTTGAAATTAATTTTTCAGAGATAGTCGAACAACCACGACAGATACTATGAATTTATCTGGCGAGTCATTTTGGACCGTTCTGGAAAGTGCTCTAAATGTAACGAATAACACATCTAATATAAAAGATTTGATCTATAATTGGTCACTGGAAGGATATTATCCTACACTGTACGTGACACAAAATAATTCTATGACATTAATCACATATAGTAATTATGAATTTACATTAATTTTTGGCATGAAGCAATATCCAGTTTATGTGACATATACATCAAAATCACTTTTATATTTTGAGTCATTACATTACTATTGGCTATTTCCATTACAACCGTACTGTTATTTACATGACATTGACAGTAATGATTGGATTATAGTCAATTTACAACAAATTGGTAAATATTGAACAGTAACTTTATTATTCTATTGCTCTATTTTTTAATTGACGTTTTATTATTCTATGTTTAATCATTAGAAATATGTCTTTTCTGTTTATTTGATATTTTAATATATGTAACCACAATTATCCACTGTCTTGCAACAATTAAGCGATCAAGAAGACTTGTTTTAAAAAAGTAATCTTCTAAGCATTGTAACTTCGTAAAAAATCGTCGTATATTAATTTAAAAGAAATTATTTTCAAACTTGAAACCTTTTTTCTCATTTAGTCGTTTTATTGGCAATGAAAAACACACACTTAATGTTCGGCAAAGGAAAGCTTTTTACAATAAATGTAGAGTGATATATGGGGTCAGGCAAGAAAACGGGCGATTATAAATAGACGATTAACTTTTGCATATTTATTAACAACTTTTCATGTAAAAAATTTTAAACACGTAGTTTGTCATTTATGTTTAGATGATGATATCGCACAAGTAATCTTAATTCATTAATTTAATATTAATTTTGTAAATATTTTATTTAAAAAATAACTTATTTCAGAAAATATTTAGATGGAAATAATGATATTTGCAAGCACTTTTTCATAAAATTGTTGAGGATACTTTAATAATAGAAATATCATTTTTGTGTCATAGGGTACTATCGCGTCAATTATGATGAGGATAACTGGCAAAAACTAAAGCATTATTTGTATTTTGTAAATCATACCCACATTTCTCTTTATAATCGAGCTCAAATCGTTGATGACGCCTTTCATTTTATGATCATAAGACAACTCAATTTCGATTTGTTTTGGGATGTTACAAGCTTTTTATTAAGAGATACGGACTATGGAGTATGGTATCCTATGATTAAAGCTGTTGAATATATGGCGTGTATGTGGGCATTTAAAAGTGATATAAGTGCAAAGGTAAATTATAGTAATAGTAAATTTCCACAAACAAAAATAATATATAATATTAAAGCACTGTACATATAAAAAAAGTTCAAATTAATATGTATATGTGTAAATATACTTATGTCATCTTTTTAAAAAATGATAATAAATTTAAAATTCCTATTATTTAACAATTTATAGAACAAAATTAAGTACATGTTTCATGGACTTCTGCTGAATATAGAATACGATGACACAGATAGTGATAACGATTTTACTAAATGTTTAAGAGAAGAAGCGATAAAATGGGCATGTGTTCTCGATGTTCCTGACTGTAGAAAAACAGTCACCTCTCAATTAGAAAGACATCTTGTAAGTTCTGGAAAGGACAAGTAAGTTGTTATTTGTATAAATAAATTTGATGGCATTATTGCTTTATGCTAAATCAATTATTTTACTATTACATTATAAAACATTGTAAAGAAATATTTATAAAGAATATTTTTTTTTCCCTGGTAATGCAGATTTTTAAAACGGAAAGAATGGTTATACTGTAAAGGTTTAATGGCAGCAAACGTCAGTATTTGGCGAATGGTGTGGAATAAATGGGATTCATCATTCGATAATAAATTTTTAGAATACTTAACTTGCTCTACAAATACTGTCATTATTAGATTGTATTTGATTATAATAAGCAAAGATACTTTTTATTCGTCATACAATAAAACGATAATTGCTAATACTTTTCTTCTTATTTTTGCAAAACATGCAAGAAATAATGTAGTACTCAATTTTATATTCAATCAATACACAATTCTTCGACTTAAGTGGAAAAAGGTAATTACGTTTTTTTATTAATATATCTTAACATTTATGAATATTTGTTATATTTGTAAAATATATTACTTTGCTTTTGTAGGCATGTTGACGAAATTGCCGTATTAATTGTTATCATAACGCACGAGCATGAAGCGGAACAATTCAAAAAAGTATATTTTCTTATATGCGTATAACGTTATCATTACTTGACTCTTTTATTGAGCTTATTTATGTTTACTTTGTGATATACATAAATGATATATCTGACCCAAATGCACTTAACATAGCAATTTAAAATTTTTTTTTTGTAATTAAGGAAATTTTTATATATTTATTAATATTTTTAATATTATCAAATAATCTGTTTTAGATAAGTGAATTCGTTAAAAATAGTCCGACAATGAATACAAAGCGAGTAGTTGATGCTGTTGAACACAAAATAGAAAAACGAAAAAAGGAGCACGATAAAAAAGTCGCAAATTACAGGCTCATCGATAGAGTAAAATAAAGGAATAAATAAACAATTGAATCCATGAAGGATTCAATTCAAACAATAATTTTTTACATGTTACTCACATGCATTCATTTATTAATCATTTTTTAATTTTCTTTCATTGTTGTATTAAATATTTCTTCTCAATTTTAAAATGTTTTATTTTTGTTTTAATTATTTTTAATATTTTATTTTTCTAATATTTAATGTTAATTAATATTTATATACGTATACAAATATTAGTAATATATTTATTTATAATCTCTAGTAAATTTTAAATTTTTGTTGCGTTTGTTATTCCTTCTTTTTGGCTTTTTTTTTATTCATTAAAGATTTATTATATTTATTATTCTTTTAACATTGTATAATCTGTCATAATAAAGTTTAATAATTTATTTTTGGACGTGTTAATCCCCCATTTTGTTCGTAGTAATATCGTCCCATTTGTTCGTAGTAATATATAAAAAATTATAATTTATTAAATCTGTAATATTATATAATTCAATATAAATTGACTTTGTACAAAATAATAAATTTTATTATTTTGATATACAATAATTCTAAAAATTATTTATTTAAAAAGTATAATTTTTCACATATTTCTTATATTTTCTATAACAGTAGTTAAAAGCAACTTAAAAATTTGCTTTCCTTATTTAACGCACAAATTTGTCCGTTGAAATATTAAAATTTATTTGCTTCTCTGTTGGTTAGCAGTGTTTACTACCGAGTGACCTTTTAGCAACTATTTACATGACATAATGTATGTGTTAAATTAGCTACCATATCTATCAGCTGCCAATGCCTTTCTCAGTGTTCGGTGATTTCTCGAAACAGTAAGATAGCGAATGAGTTTATATATCTAAGGCGTTTACATTTGAAACGGTGTATTGTATTAATTGTAATTAGTATAAATAATTAATTCTACAAACTACGCACAACTTTAATATACTTAGGTGAGTTAATAAAAAAAGCATGAAATATTTCTCAATATAAGTATAGAAAAATTTTTAAATACTTCTTTTAGAAGCATTTTTCAAAGTTATCAAATCAACTAATGTTTTCTTTAATTTTTCTGTTGTTTAATTTTGCGCTCTCAGCTGAATTACAGTTGACGGTTTATTTTATGACTGTTTTGGAATAAAAATTAATTAAACGGATATCGTCAACTGTTTAAAAATAATCGTCAAAAGCGTATTATTTTGATGTTTTTCGGATTTCTTCAACAATTTCAGTTGCATTTAAAGGTTTCTTAAAACATTTATATTTTGAATAAAATTTTGTTGTATATAATATTAATACTATACACGTTTAACAAAATGTTCTATTTTCAATAAAATAATTTCTCTTGCAGAAATTTCTGTTACGTGACATAGAAATTAAAATGACACAACAAAAGCTTTCAATATTTGTGAAATTTATGTTAATTGTTACAATAGCTTTTTTCGCTGCTATCAATGCCGAAGATAACGTTGCAATTACTTATAATTTGCCAAACAATATAGTACCGCATTATGACGTCAAATTAATATTTGATTTCGATGAAAAGATTTTAGTGGGCGATTGCAATATTACTATTTTTATTGAAAGTCTAACAACAAATTTAACTATACCTTCAGGGATTTTTTCCATACTTAATGTTGTTTTAATTGACCATTTTTATGAAAGAAGAATTTATATTTCAAAGTATTGGATCATCAATAAACCGCATGTGCTTATTATTGATTTTACTAACGTAAAATCGCCAAAAAAGCATCCACAGTTTTTGATACCTGGGAAATATACTTTAACAATAACATATATACATCACATAAATGATAACACAAATGACTTCTCTGAAACTTTATTTCAAAACCAAGATGAAATGTAAGTAAAAAATGTTCATAACATTTTGTTATATTATAAATAACAGTTGCTATTATTCTTCACAATATATGTTCACTATATTCATCGTCATCGTGCCTAAAATTGTTAACTACAAAAATGATTTAAAGTTTTTTAAAATATTGCTTAAATGTATACAACATTACGCACACAATTTGTCGATTTTGAGAGATACAAATATGTTTCAATGGGTACATTTAGAACAATTTACGTAGAAATGTGATAAATAGTTGAATTATTCAAAATCTGACATTTTTCAGTCTATTCTTAATCAATTCTCGATCAAATTATAATCAAAATTTTATTTCAAAAATAAATAAATAAATTATTGTTAAAATATAGGTTGACTGCAATAAAAAATAATGATAATGATAATACGATGCATGAAATAATGATAGCTCGACAATTATTCCCGTGTTGGGATGAGCCAGAATTGAAAGCCACCTTCAAAATTTCCATCAAGCATCATAGAAAATACACAGCTGTATCAAATGCACCAATACAAAAAATAAAACTAGATGAAAATGACATGATGTGGACGCACTTTAAAAATTCATCTTTCATACCCGTTCAACGTTTAAGAGTTATAATATCCACGTTCACTGCAATTTCTATATATGCAAACGTCACATTTTGGTGTGGAAGTAACATGACACAATATATATATTTTGCGATGAACGTTGCCGAACGAGCCTTAAATTTTTTCAAAAAACAAAGTACGATAGAAATACCAGAAATGAATTATCTTGTATTTTCGGATGTTGAATACAGCAGCTTTGAAACACGGAATTTCATTTTTCAAAGGTAATATCCGTTATTAAGAATTATTTAGACCAAATAAAAAAACATAAAAAAATTTAACAATTTTTTAAAACAGATAGATATACATATTTTTATGTCAATACGTTAATTAAGAAACATCTAAAATTTATACAATGTTACTTGCATCACATCAAAAAAGTATTTTTATGTTTACTCTAAGTAAAAAATTTTGAAGTAATTATTCTGTATATTAAATTGGACTTCAATTTAGTTTTTAGTAGGAACGGCATGTAAAATAACTATTCATTTTATATTGTACAAATAAACGCGAGTGTTATGAAATTTTTTTTATTATATGAATAATATTGAAAAAACTTATCAAAGTTTTTCTCTTCCAAATTCTATTCTTTTCTACAAAAAAACAAACAATTGCAAGAAACGTTTATAAGATTGTTGATAAATTACTATTATTTGAAAACAATTTTCAGGAAGGAATATGTTACATACAACGAACAATTGCATCCTCATAGGCGTAAAATAGAAGTGGCACAGTTAATAGTTCGTCAAATGGCATTTGTTTGTTTTGGCGATGCATTTTTATGGACAAAAAATGGTTTTGCTACATTTTTTGAACTGTATATTTTGAATGAGGTTGTTTGAATAAATATTTTTTATCGATATAGTACATTTTTCAAACTACTGAATAAAACAGTCAAAAAGTTTATCAGCAACGTTGAATATGTGTTACAACTATAAATATATTTTTCAATAAAATATTTATTTTATCACCTATCAATTTTTTCAGATTTTTCCAGAATATCGCCCAATGGATTTATTTGTCGTGGAAAGACAACAGGAACTTTTCCGGCTCCATACTTTTTCTAATATGTATTCTTTTAGATTAAACATTCATGAAATTGATACACTTAGGTTTTTTTCATATTATTCAAAAAGTAAGTTCAAAAAACAATAACTAAAAAATTATATGTAATTGAGATAATATAATTAAAAAATATTGATAAATATACGCACTAACGGATCCTGATGTCGATAATAGGGGAGGATTTGACCTGCTTTAATGCATTTTTTACCAAGATTCTTGAAACGGATTCAGCAAAATTGATTTTTTTAACTCTTAAGGAGGGGGGGGG